TTTGGCCCGATTTTAGAGTAACTTTAAAAAAATCATAAAAAATCCAAATTTGATCGGAATCAGCTCAAACTTTCTACACAACATGAGTATATGTATATGCATCAGAAAAATTATAAAAATGGAGAATTTTCTATTTTGCAATTTTGGTGAAATTTGGCCCGAGACCATGTACTATAGTACAGGGACTTTGGCTCGATTTTGGAGCAACTTTTAAAAAATCATAAAAAATCCAAATTTGATCGGAATCAGCTCAAACTTTCTACACAACATAAGTACATGTATATGTATCAGATAAAGTCATAAAAATGAAGAATTCTCTCCTTTCCAATTTTGGCAAAATTTGGCCCGAGACCATGTACTATAGTACAGGGACTTTGGCTCGATTTTGGAGCAACTTTTAAAAAATCATAAAAAATCCAAATTTGATCGGAATCAGCTCAAACTTTCTACACAACATGAGTACATGTATATGCATCAGAAAAATTATAAAAGCTAGAATCCTTTTCTTTTCAATTTTGGTGGCTAATGAAAGTATGGCGATATTATTAATTATTGTCTCATATTATCGTTTAGCATCAACTGTGTATTGTTAGTCCCCACTGCGTGTACTGCTAAAATTGATGAATTTACAATCACTTATTTGAACAGAGGTGAGCAATTACATGTACATGTAGACCTCAAGAGTAATGCTAAATCAATTCAAATATCAATAGAGGGAAATTCAGCTTAGCTATTTTAGAATTTAAAATCCAGCCCATACATGTACATGTGCATATTTTATGCTATGAATAATTTACTATTATTGTCAAGAGATAGTAATGCCCTTTATTTAACAGGACAAACTTATTCTCTGAGACTCTCCTGCGAGAAACCAACGGAATACTCTCTATTAAAGGTAGCGTCAAGGAACAGATTCAATTGAAACTATTCAGTATTTGTTTATTACACTTTAGAGTTCGATCTCGCTAGAATTTCATGACCTCAGACTAAGGAACAGCGAAGAGACTCAAATTCAGCAATGGATGAATGACAACAATGGACAGAGGATGCTTGAGATGGGTTAGTTGCATCATGTAAAGGGATAATGCTTTAATACGACTTGCCTTTAGTTGCTGTGTCATGCAGTGGTGTATCAAATATACAGCATCATGATGACTTCATTAACTTTGCTAGTTTTGTGTGGGCCTCGCATGAAGAATCAGTAGTATCATTTAAGGTCAAAATAACATAATAATATTGTTGTTTTTTTAATTTCTATTTCATGTGTAGATTAATGCATTAAGTAGTGAGTTCACTGCCAAGAAACACGGTATGTGTGTATCCAATAGTTGATGTGTTACTTAATAAGTTTAGGAGGAGAGAAAGGAGTCCCATTTAGGCTAGTACTGAACACGTATTCTATACCAAGTATTGAAGACACAGGAGGAACACACATCTCAAAGTGTTTCTGTCTTGTTAAAGTTTTTAAGGTACATATAGGGGGCCAGGGGGCTTAAATTTAGCATCAAAATGACGAGAGAAATAATATTTTATGGATGCAGCGAGAGATATTAGGATCTTGTTTGTAGGATAAAGGAGCTGACAGGAAGCATAAACATGATTTACAGAAAAGAGAGAAGCTACAATCAGATGAAGCAGTTAGTTGCCATATATTTTATAATGAGAATCGGTGTGTTTCTTCTTGTTAGGCTAAATATTGGGAGAGCTCTTCAGTCACTAAACTACAGCCGGTAAAAAGTAATAGCAACTACTTTATAGTATAATTTTAATTTAGGTGCCATTGTCAGCCAAGAGCTCAGAGCAACAGTTGCCATTACAAGCCAGTTATTACAGGTTAGTACACTGTACAATGCAACAGATAGCAAGATTTAATGTTAAGAAAAGCTTATTGTGAATGCATGATTCCTAGTGCAGTTTAATAAGTGGCTTTTAGGACATAATTTCATTTTATTTATGTTAGTCCAACTCTTCAGTCTTCTCAATCTCCGTCTAATGCTACGCCGTCTACTTATTCACTTCCACCTGCACCTGAATTTAATAGCCCGCCATTGTTCCTCAACTAGTCAACCAGGAATGGAACAGGTTTCATATCAACTCCAGTCGCTAGGCCCATTGGCGAACGTCGATGAGACGAGGCAGTGGCTGACTAACAATAGGTTCGCTCCTTATGTCTCTCTCTTTGCTAATTATGGAGGTGAGTGCGCACATTTGTACATCAATTAAACACACAACAGCTGCATCCTAACAATAATAAATGCTGCCTCTATCAATAGGTACTGACCTACTGCGATTAAGTCGTAAAGACTTGATGGATCTGTGTGGCCCCGCTGATGGAATAAGACTATACAATGCACTTCATATCAGGTTTGTGTCCCTTAATTAATTACCATTTTATAATCACTTTACATCATAAATTAAAGGTCTGTTAAGAGAATATATATATCATTTGAAGAAGGCACAGGTATTTCTTTATTTATTAGAGTTTTTTGTTGTCTAATCATTAGCATTAATTTTTATTTATTATTATTATTTTTTGTATTCACACAATTATTTTATTCATAGCGTATAATGCCATTTTTTTGGAAGAACTCACAGCTGCACACTTTAAAGACTGTATTGCCAGAAGGCTCTCTATAGCTCCGTCAGTAATCACTGCCATTCAGTTACAGCACACTTACGGTTACGGTATTCTTGTCAATGTGGATGACTTGGTTAGTAAAGCATCAATCTATCAATAAACTTTTAATTTTTTATGATAGTGTGTAGTCAATATGTACGATGAGCAATTTTTCCAGCTGCAACATATAAAAGGTTGGACAGACTATCATCATGCATCATGACCCAATATTTGACTTATTGTATTATTATCATCATAGATGAGACAGGCTCAATGAGGATAATACTGAAGGAGCCCCACACTACAGATATCAGTATGACTGGCCAACACTCCAGATCATAGGAAGACCATTCTATTATTATTCTTCTAGTTGATTATTATTCTTTAATTTGAATTGACATCAAAAAAATCTTCTGTGATTCATTGTTCAATTATTGAATAATCATGACTGCATTACATCTATTATTATTATTATCTTTGCTTGATTTGAATCTTAATTTCTTATGGTATTCACCTGACCTCCATGGACATTTCATTAAATTGTTGCGTGTCTTTTTTGCTTTTATGTTAATATAATATTAACAATAATAATAAACAACAACAATAAATAAAATAAATCTTAGAAACAAACACAGAATTGACACAAAAATACAAAATTGTAACTACAATTCTTAATATAAACACAATCTTGTATAATTAAAGTAAAGTTGAAAATTCTCCTGTATAAAAGTCTAGTTTGTTGACAAACAAAATTGTCGTTGACACACGTGAATACACGTGTGTAGTTAATTTTAATAGTTAATAACCAAACTCAATTGCGCATGCTCAGTAGTGTTAACTATTAAAAATAGGCGTGATTTTATTGTCACATAGCCCGCCCAATTTTCAAAATGGGACTTCATCCTGTAGTATTAATACTGGCCTGCTTTACAGTGTCTTTACTGGTTCATGGAGGCCAGCCTCCTGATGAATCTCCTCAGAAATGGTCAGATACATGTTCAGCAGATAAATGTGAGTGTTTTGTACTAAGAAAAATGCTCAATTCCTTTCTCTTAGGTGTAACTATTGATTTAAGTCATAAAAATGAGGTTAGCAAAAGTAAATTTATTAGTTGTGAGTAGTACAAAAATAACTACAGTAAAAATTTTCCCACTACACAGTAGTACACGGCACCTGTGATATGTTTATACATTGTTTACATATACATCTACATGTATCATTGACATTGAAATTATCGATTCTACTTATTAGATTATTGTACAGGCAAATAGAATCTACTGTATAAAGCCACTCAAAAGACTTTCCTTGAAAGGATTGCTGTACATTTGGCACAGGACAGATATTAGACTCAATGGCTCTAAAGGAAGCGTACTAGTTAACGCTAACTCGACTGAATTTGTTATTAAGAGTATAAAGGATAAAGAAACAGGATCTGGCGGATCCTTTTGGCAACAAAGTCATAATGGAGTTTCTGTTTTAAAATTGTCTCCTTTTGATACTAATTGTGTTGGAGTAAAAGATAGTTCTCCTGCTAAGATTGGCGGTAAAGGTACTGTAGCATTTAGTAGAAGTGAGTTTGCTGTGTGAACATTACATGTACATGTATGTGCAGAGATGGGGACAAATGCATTTATAAAAATGCCATTAAAACACCATTAGTAATACTCATCTTGCATCTTCATGGTTTACTACAAAATTTCACTAATTCCATTCCTACAGGACTTCTAATCTACTACCCTATTCTTCTTTTGGTTGCTTTACTTCTTTTTTACAGTGCACCTAAATTAACAAGGTCAGTTTCCTGTAGATGAATTCACTTCATTTTCTTATTGCTCTCTCCATTCTTTCTTCTTCTCTCTCTCTCCTTTTCCAACCTTGCTTCTACTCTATAGAAATCCTAAATTTTATTATTCTAGTGGCATTTTAATTGGTATTTTGGCATCTATTCTCGTACTGCTCTACATTTTCAGTAAATTGGTTCCAAAAAAGAACATAATTGGCATCAGTGTGCTACTGGGGGGCTACTCATTTGCTGCTTACTTCACTCATTGGATTTATTCCCAAGGGATTGATTTTATTCGTGATAATTGGCTATATTTACTGATATACTTAATCACTTCTGGTTTCATTAGTTTTGCTATTTTATATCGTATTGGTCCAGCTCATGTTCGCACTCTACAATTGATACAATGGCTCCTTCAGTTCATTAGTTTGACTCTTCTCTTCTTCTCCTTCTCTCAAATACAAGTCATAGCTTTCATTGCAGTGCTGGTCTTACTAGTACATTACAATACATCACTCTTTTCATTTGTATTAGGACCACCCAAAGAATTGTAAGTTATACAAAAAAAATTGTGTCCTTGTATATTTAGAATGGATTACTCTTTTGTGTTCAAAAGCATTTTGACTTCATTCACGATCATTTTTATGAAGCTGACAAGCTTGTATTTATTTCTTAGGTTTTTTCGCATGTTTCTCTTTTTGCAACCCAACATTCAAAAGAAGTTGTTGACTGTTGAAGAATATGAAGAGCAAGGAAGGGTTGAGACGGAGAAAGCTTTAAAGGAATTACGCAAATACTGTCGATCTAATCCTGAGTTTTGGGATAATAAACTCGTAAATATCAATAATCAATCAAGGTGTGTATAAGTAGTCCAATTCTAAGTGCACATTGATAATACCATATCAATCATCATTTTAACAATGTATTATTAATCCTTGTCAGGTTATTGGATTTTATGTCAGGCAAGGATCATGTACCTAATAGTGAAAAAGAAAGTCATGATAGAGTGTACTCATCTTGGTATGATGACAGTGATGATGATGATGATGATGATGATATTGATAGTTCAACTGCTTCCCCTCAAGTCTCATCCTCATATAACTCACCCTCACCCTCCCCTAGACACCAACAATATCACCATTATTATTATAATTAATCTAAACTCTTGGGACTTTATAGGATATTATTTTTGTCTCTTAAGATAATAGTGTAATGGACTTGCTGCTGCAACACAGCAACAGTTCAATATACTCAGTTCATGTAACTTTTTGTTCCATTGTCACGACTCAAAACCTGTGACAACCAAAAAACCAATTGTTCCATTGTCATGAAATCCTTGACAAGCAAAAACCTACTTGTTCCATTGCCAAAAAATCTGTGACAATTTTTTGACCAATTTTTTTAGTAACTTTAAAAAATTGTAAAAATTCATTTTTGATGGAGTCAGCTCAAACTTTCTACACAACCTAAGGATGCTAACATCACAGTAACAATTCTTTAGATGCTATCATGCTACCCTCTCACTTATCTCCAATTCCTCATCTTGTTGATCACTGTAGTTAACAGTTACACCCCCAAAAGACATGAAGGCAGGGAGTATTTGTGACCTGATGCTGTTCTTCTTGACTGCTCTTTTGTGCTTGAATGCTTTTCAATCTATTTACAAGGTAACATTGAACAACCCAGATACCAACTGTTCTCTTCAATGTGATTGTCCTTTGTCCTCAAATCAAACCACAGACCTGCAGTCATCAACCTCTTCTGCTTATGAAGTCAGCAGCTCTGCCATAAACTTTGTACCACCAGGTAGCTCTTCATTTAGTCTGGACCATTATACTGCTTCAGGTAGAAGAACAACTCTTACACGCCTTGGAACTGATCTAGCTACTCTCTCACTTAAGGATTCATGTCCACCTGAATCACTAATGTTAAAAGATTGGACCAACATAAGACCAGTCCATTCATCGTGCCCAGCAGTATTCATTATTGGTGCTCGAAAGGGAGGTACAACATCACTCTATCAATATTTGTCACATCATCCTGACTTTGAGGGGATTCATCTTGAAGATGGGCCATCAGCTGGCGAGACATTTCATTTCTCTGCAAGATACTCGACTGAGAACTGGAAAACATATGCATCTCGCTTTCCAAAAGCTTCCGTCATGACTGGTGATGCAAGTGTAGGCAATTTCATCAATTGCAATGTGCCTAGTAGATTATTTGAGTCTTGTGGCAACTTCTCTAAAGTATTGATATTGCTTAGAAATCCTATCAATCGATATGTATCTAATTTTCTAATGAGGGCTAGGTTTAAGAAAAAGCATTACTCAAATAACACTGGTCTATCCACTGTCATTAATTTGGAGATTGATTCATTCTACAACACACTTTTGAAGAAGGGAGTGTCACTATCACTGAGCCCAGATAAGTGGGAGCAGTTCCAGTGCCTTTATAAACCAGCAGAAAACATGCTGTTTGAGGGTCTCTATTATATTCATTTGATGAATTGGCTCTGTAACTATCCTGGTAGTAATATGCTTATAATCAACAGTGAAGAATTTTACAAAAACACTACTTTCATTTTGCAGCAAGTTTATCAGTTTCTTGGTTTGTCTCCACTCAGTGAGAGCAGTAGAGAATTGGTTACATCATTTATATTTAATAAAGGAGGGAACAGGCTTCTTCCACATCAAATGCTCCTCCCAAATGATAGGAAAAAATTAAGCCACATTTTTAGACCATTTAATAATGAATTGTTCAAACTGTTAGAATGGAATGATGTATCATGGTGAAAATGAAATTACTAACAACTATCTAGATATAATATTAACAATTCTTTTAGTTCTTTGTCCATGATTATATCTAGCTAGCATTGACACACAAATTATGAGAATCTCAGAATTATAGTTTATTTCATTTCAAAACTTAAAGGAGGACGCAATGCAGGTATTTCCTGTATTGTTTTTGAAGTGCGCTTCCGATATAAGCAAAAGAGACCAACAACAAAGAGAGCTATAGTTATGAGCAAAATAAACCCCAGAACACCAATGATAACTACAAGGATAGAAATGACATTGAGAAGTGGGTTATTAATCTAATGCATTATAATTTAATGCATGATGTGACTTACCTAAAGCAGTAGTTATGGCAGATACTGTATTGGTTGTAGGATTGCTTGATGGAGTTGTTGTAAAGGGAGGGATTAATGTAGGAGTGCTTGGTAAAGCTGTAGTAGCTCTAATAAGGCTTGAGGACATCACATTATCAACTATTGTGGATGAGGACAAAGACAGAGACAAAGGTACTGATGAATGGACTGATGAAGGAGAAGGTGAACTGGTTATGACTCCATTAATGAGAGTGAAGCTACTAACATCATCCGGTGGATCAGTAATTATGGTGACATTAAATATATCTTGACAGTTATCTTGTTTACAAAGACAAATTACATGACTTGTAATCCCTTCCAATGAAGACACTCTCTTGGTGATACTCAAACAATCATTTGTCAATTTAGAGCCAGTAGCTTCTTCACAAGAATCAACCGGTAAAAAACTAAACCAATGTCCATCAAACTCTGTTGAACTTAAGTTCCTTATAAAAAGAGAAGCATAACAGTAATATCCATCCTGGTTTCTACCAGGTACATTTTGAGAGGTACAGCCTGAGGGAGCTTCACAGTAATAGTCAAGGGCGTAGGGAGAAAAAAAGGAAGGGGTAGGCTACGAGTAGAAAAGGGCGCGCGAAGCGCGCCGCCGATTTGGCCACGCCCACTTTTACGGCCACGGAATGGGCACATTCTCGCAATATGAAGTTTCCTTTACTCTAATATCTATGGTTCTCGCAACTGCTTCAGACTCAGATGAGGACTCAGGCAAGACTCAAGGTAGCAGCACAATCAACAAAATCATCATTCACAAGATTATCATCTTCAATCTCCTCATGCTCATCTTCAGTACAAATAGTCTATATGGGGGTTGACTACTAATATACTCAACTAAATTTTGCATAAAAAATGACAAAGCTTTTGTTTCTTTGCAGCTGACATTGTGTTGGCTTCACTTAAAGTTAACTTTTTATAATTTTATTAAGCTAGCTAATTAATTAAGTTAATTATGTAAAGACTCCACCTTAATAAATTATAATAACTGTGCTAAAATGGCTGTTTTTCTTTTCTTTCTCCTGTCTCTGTTTGCCTGTGTCAAAAGTGACTGAGTGAGTAACTGCCAGTTGAGACAGCTACCCTAAACTTCTATAATCTTTGATCATAAGTGACTAAGGCAGAAACTCAATATAGGTAAACTACTAAACTTCAATTTTGACTTCTGAACTTCTGGGTAGGCTATAGCCTACCATAGCCTTATGCTAGCTACGCCCTTGGTAATAGTTATAACTGTATTGATCAATAGGAGTCACTGTACAATCAACAGGAGAACTAGAGCAACTTATACAACTGGATACTCTACAGATAAAGCCATATGCTACAGCAGAGAACAACAGAAGAGTGAAGACAAGAGAGGCTACCATTCTTGGCTTGAACACCACAAGTATGCATCTGTTATCACAGTAATACAATCAAACCTATGAAATCACTTCTTCTACGGAAGAAGTCATGCAAGTTTACAACTGGTATTAACATTAATTATTGTTATTGAAGTGATTCAAGGAATGATGTATCATGGTAAAAATGGGATTACTAACAACTATCTAGATATAATATTAACAATTGTTTTAGTTCTTTGTCCATAATTATATCTAGCTAGCATTGACACACAAATTATGAGGATCTCAGAATTATAGTTTATTTCATTTCAAAACTTAAAGGAGGATGCAGTGCAGGTATTTCCTGTCTTGTTTTTGAAGTGCGCTTCCAATATAAGCAGATGATACCAACAACAAAGAGAGCTATAATTATAAGCAAAATAAACCCCAGAACACCAATGATAACTATAAGGATAGAAATGGGATTGAAGTAGCTAATGCATGATATGACTTACCTAAAGCAGTAGTTATGGCAGATACTGTATTGGTTGTAGGATTGCTTGATGGGGTTGTTGTAAAGGGAGGGATTAATGTAGGAGTGCTTGGTAAAGCTGTAGTAGCTCTAATAAGGCTTGAGGACATCACATTATCAACTATTGTAGATGAGGATAAAGACAGAGACAAAGGTACTGATGAATGAACTGATGAAGGAGAAGGTGAACTGGTTATGACTCCATTAATGAGAGTGGAGCTACTAACATCATTTGGTGGATCAATAATTATGGTAACATTGAATATATCTTGACAGTTATCTTGTTTACAACGACAAATTACATAACTGGTAATCCCTTCCAATGAAGACACTCTCTTGGTGATATTCAAACAATCATTTGTCAATTCAGAGCCAGCTACTTCTTCACAAGAATCACCGTGATTAAAATTAAACCAATGTCCAACAAACTCTGTTGAATTTAAGTTCCTTATAAAAAGAGAAGCAAAACAGTAATGTCCATTCAGGTTTGTACCAGGTACATTTTGAGGGGTACAGTCTGGGGGAGCTTCACAGTAATAGTTATAACTGTATTGATCAATAGGAGTCACTATACAATCAACAGGAGAACTAGAGCAAGTTATACAACTGGATACTCTACAGATAAAGCCATATGCTACAGCAGAGAGCAACAGAAGAGTGAAGACAAGAGAGGCTACCATTCTTGGCTTGAACACCACAAGTATGCATCTGTTATCACAGTAATACAATCTAACCTATGAAATCACTTCTTCTACGGAAGAAGCCATGCATGCTTACTATGCTTACAACCGGTATTAACATTAATTTGACACCACATCATTAAAATGAATGTTTTCAGAAATTGTTATTGAGCTGATCTAAGGGTTGATGATGGCTCATGACATAATTTCTAATTAAATAACGACAAATTTAACAAGAGTAATTAGTGATGATTACACAAACATGTGTTATGTAATTTGACACCAAAAAAGAGTAAAATATTAATATTCAAGGCATACATCATATGCCACACATTTAATTAAAATAATAATTACTAATAAATCATCATAAATACAAGCACTCATGGAACTCAAATGAATATCAGTACTTCATACGGCAATACACAAAATAAAATGTTAATTCTCTTCATAATTCTTATCATCTTGTAGCAGGAGCATCTCTTTCAATATTATAAGGATCGTGAACACGCCTATAAACAGACTTGTATACCATTCCACCATTACGAGCCACTTTCTTCCCTTCCTCTGTACAAGTATCAAGTAGCGCTAAAATGGGATCGGCGTCCCCTTCTCCTCTCTCAAATAGAGGGTGCTCCATGAAATGCATTTCTATCCATTCGTGCAAGTCCTTTACATCAGTAGCAGTGTATACAAGACCACCTTCTCTTAATACATATGCATACTCAGCAAGAAGGCATTCGTTGATGATGCGACGTTTGTGTTTGGTTTTTTTAAAATGAGGGTCTGGAAACAGGAAAAACATTTTACTCAGCTGTCCTTTCTTAAAATAATTAGGAAGGTATTTCATCGCATTCGTTCTCAGTACGGCAATGTTATCGTAGGTACCTGGGGCTTTCTGACGCAGGGCACTGATACGATCTTGAACATAGTCGCAGACTTTGACGCGAATTTCAAGACCCAGAATACGGGTTCTGGGAAACAATGGTGAAAGTTCAACTAGCAGACCACCATAGCCACAACCAATGTCAAGGAACTCGGGGGGAAACGGATCCAAATTTGAGGAAGCTTCCCCCGAGGATTTGGTGGGGGGCGGAGAAAGAGGGGGAGGGTAAAGGTTGGCCCAGTTCATGTCATCGGGAGACACAGGATAGTCAAAGCAGTGGTCGGAAAGGGGATTGGAGTGAGCTCTTTGTCTGTAGTAACGCTTCTGAGGTAGTGCTTCACCAGCTACCGGCGATTCTGCTGCCATTTCTAATCGAGCTTCTAATATCCCTCACGTGGGTGGGCGTGTACTTCTCTCAACTCGCGCTCGGACATAAAAATTTTTTGATAATAAAATTCTAAAAACAATTAAATTTAGTCTGAATAATAAAACAATAAATCACAGAAGAATCTTTTAATGTCAATTTAAATTAAAGAATAATAATAACAAATAATTAATAGTAGATCATTCTTCCTAGCGTTGGCCAGTCATACTGTCATCTGTACTGTAGTGGGTGCATGACTCCTTCAGTATGATCCTCATTGATCCAGTCTCATTCACTATGATGATAATAATATAGAAGTCAATTATTATTAAATAACAACAAGAGTCTGACCTTCTTGTTTAATATCAAAATAAGTCTTTTTAATACTTCTTAAGAGCTATAATAAAAAACGAACAGTTTATTGACTGATTGACATTTTACTAACACTATTATCGATATAGACCAGTCTTCCACAATCGTCCTCTAAAAGAAGTGCAGTGATTACTGACGGAGGTATCGAGAGCCTTCCAGCAATCCACTCTTTAAGGAGGACAACCGTGAGTTTGTTCATCGAAATAGGATGGTACTCTATTAAAAATAATTGCGTGAACACAAAAAAATAATAATACAATATAAAAATAAATGTCAATAATTAGACAGCAAAAAAACTCTTAAGAAATATACAATACCTCTGCCTTCTTCTAGTGATATGTATATCCTATTGACAAAAATAACCCCAATGTGAAATGGATATGAAATGGTAATGGTAATTAAGGAATACATACCTCATATGAAGTGCATTATATAGTCGTATACCATGAACAATGCCACATATTTCCATCAAATCATTACGGCTTAATCCCATTAGGTCAGTACCTGTATATACTTATAGAGACAACATTTATAGTAAGCAATACCTTTGATGTACATGTACTCACCTCCATAATTAGCAAAGAGAGAGATGTAAGGAGCAAACCTATTGTTAGTCAGCCACTGCCTCGTCTCATCAACGTTTGCCAATGGAGCTAGCGACTGGAGCTGATATGGAACCTGTTCTAATCCTGAATGACTGGCCAAGGAACAAGGCGGGCCATTAAATTTAGGTGCAGGTGGAGGGGAATAAGTATATGGCCTCGCCAATAGAGCCAACTGCTGGAGCTGATATGTAACCTGTTCCAATCCTGGTTGGCTGGCCAAAGAACAAGGCGGGCTATTAAATTCAGGTGCAGGTGGAGGGGAATAAGTAGATGGCCTAGAATTAGATGGAGATTGAGAAGACTGAAGAGTTGGACTAAAATAAGCCATTGTATGATATGGATTTTAGGTTTTCCTCTACAATCGAAACAGTGCCCGTCTGCCTGACCTTACACATGTGAACTACGGTGGTATATCTATGGTACAGTACTCTCCTCACACGAGGAGGTAAGAAATTTTAAGAAGAACGACAGTAATACTCACGTGCTTCCACGTGTGTCATACATGTGTACCGTAATAGCTCCAATTTTTGTCAGTGGAAAAAATTATAATTAGACTAGAGGCGTGGCTTGAATTAAACTGTCAGCTATTTTTGGAATTGGAAAAGCCTAAGAGAAGAAGAGTTTGGTCTCGACTGCCTTTCATCTCTCCTCTATATAGAGACGTGGCAACAGAAGAGGCTCAATAAGGTAAATGCACTTAAAGCACTCCTTGCAGATGCTTTGGGATACGGCTACTCTTTAGCGCCTCCTTTTTATACTGTCGTTACTCGTTCCTGCGATATTGCTAATATCATTTACAATACTAATTTTGGTTAAACATGGCCTTTGTGGGCAGCAGAATCAGCAGATTTGCCTTGAAGGAAAGCTATGATCAATTCCCGTTATTCTAACACTTTGCTGTCACAATTCAGCCATTGTATGAACATCCTTTATTGGAGAGAATATTCGCAGAACTGTGTCTGTTTCTCTCTCCCTCACTCTCCTTCCTTGCCTCATTTTATTTAATTATATGCGTGAACTGTAAAGTACCATTCCCAAAGCATGAATGATTTACAATGTATAATTGGTTATAGCCTCTCTTTTCTCTGCCCTGTACCAATGTTGTATATACAAGTGGTAATTACAGTTTTGTGTGTCACATGCTTCATTTCTTAACCACTAACTAATCTTCTTCTGTGGGTACCTCTTGCTAATGATTCTCCATGTTTGGTGCATAGTCCAATACTTGTATTTCATTTGTTTTTATTGTTATTTAATGAGATGTGATATCTGTGTCATTGGACATTAATCTTGCACTTAAAACCAATAATATTGTATAGATATCAGTAGTATCAATTTGAATATACTATTGACACTCTCAGTGTTGCTGGCTGTAGATAGAGCACTGTAGTGATGAATAGACGGGGACCTTTTTTCTCTATTCACCATCTATTTTACATATAAGCACTGTTATCTGCTAACTGCCGTTATACATAGTGCTGATGTTTTGAAACCTTACCATAATATAATATATTTTGTTAAGAGGTTAAGTTTCCCTCTAATGGAGCATTTGCATATCTTATCTTATTCATTTACTCGTGGGAGAAGTACATGAGTGGGTGTTACTTTAAACTTTCTCTCTGTCTCCCCCTCTTTATTTTCCCTCTCAATTATGCTAAAGGGAATGTGTGTACATATGCCTTAAAAGCTTTTGCCCTGATGTGTATAATGATAATATAGTACAATTTGTGTATTGTTTTGCTTTTTTTTAATGCTAGATTGTGGTCAGACTGTATAAAATATACAATGGCTTCCAGTGGTTAGATAGTGTACACCCTCTTTTTTCAGCTGCTTAACTTGCTTTGACTATAAGTGAGGGTTGATGAGTAGATGTGGATACAGTAATGGTGGATGGTGTGTGTGTTTATTATGCTGAGGATTCAATTTTGATTAGTTTTATTGTCTAGTGGCTGATGTTGTGAACTACATGCTAACTTGGTATTGAATGGAGTGTGTAGTATCTTAGAGTGTCTGAGTCTAATTGATTATTATACTCTGTCTGGCCTGTACTTAGTACTTGGTGGATTACACTTTTATTTGATATTGTCCTTATTTCCCTTTTAAAATGGCAGCTTTCAACTTTCACTGTTGTTAGTAATCTACTAAAGCCTGTATGAGAAGATGTGTAGTAGTAAAGTTTATGTTTTAGAAAGGATAGTGATAAGAGATATTATCATTCAATCTCGTATTTGTTTTATCTTGCTAATTGAGCCATTTAAATCACATAAGCATTATCAGCAAGCAGCCTGTACCGTGTACATGGTCTTCACGACATAGTAATTTTTCATGATGTGCTTGTGTTACAAATGGTTATACATTTACTTATTTTTTGGCAGGTTTAATTCACTAATAAGGAAGATGGCTCTTCTTGGAAGGCTACGTGTATCTTATTTTTTAGTATGTCTTCTGTTTTGTTGCTTCATCCAGAGAGGGATACAACAAACCTTTTTAAAAATACTCCATCCTCACTATGCTGTTAGAAGCCATGCCCTTCGCCTGACTTGGAACGGTGAGCGACAGTTCATGTAATAGTCTTCACTATGATAATTTATTTTCACATCCTTTTGACTCTTCTTTGTGTATGAGTAGTTTTTGCAGTATTACAGCTTATTCAGAAGTACCAGTTTTATGATTACACATAGTCTTTATCTCCTTCAAAGCTTATATGTACTTTGGCTAGCTATTATTATTGTTTTTAGTTCATAGTTGAAGCAGTGTGTATATATGTACATACAGACTGTGTAACTATTAGAGTAATTATGACATTGTTAAGATTTGAAATAATACCAAAGTCATAACATATACAGTACTGAACTGAGACCTGCACTTACAGTACATGTACATGTACATTGTACTACTGGACTTGCATGTATGTATAATTACAATTGTAGTTACTGCATGAATTTCTATTTGGATCATCATGTGCATTAAATTAAAAAAAAATTGGCAGTGTGGTTCCCTGTTTACATCCTAATGAAAACACACAATGTGCCTGCCACATGTACATGTACGTGTATATATACCTAGAAGACATGAATGCCAGTTACATTATGTGTAGTTTTAGTTCACTGGAATGATGTTGTCTTCACATGCAGTTATCATGAAAATGTACACAATCCTATTTATGTTAATTTTAGTTGCCCTTTAAACAGGAATGAGGAACATGTACTAGTGAAGTGTTTATTCTTTATTTCCTTTGTAAGGATGTTGTTCGTGCTAATACTGTTTGCCCATGCTAATACTGTTTGCCCATGCATGTATACGTATACATGTAAAACCTACTCAGTGTTTACATGTGTGAGTGATTTCCAAACTCTGATAAGTAAAACAAACTATACGGATATCAGATTATGATTATCCACCCTCTCTGTTTCCCTCTCCCTTTATAAATAATGTACATGTATTTCTATTTCCCTTTTATCCTGGCCCTTATACTCTCTTGGTTTATCTTCTGCTTCGAGGAAATGTTGATCCTTGTCCATCTACATGAACCTTTACTGTATTCTTACTGTTAAGCATCCTGTTACTCTACTCACATCTCCTTATTACATGTACTGTATATACTGTATGATGTTGTAGGTTTCTCTCTTGTCTCTCTCTCTCCCTCTCTCTCTCTTCCTTCTCACATTTATATGTTTACAAACATATGAAATAAGATCTCAATTACTGTCATTTTGGCTGTCATGCTACTCATTAGGTCTTTGCTATTACATGTACATGTAAATTGTAGATGTATACATTATTGTAAATTGTAATTGTTTACCATTCATATATCCCATACATGTACACATTGTACCTCCACTGTTGTCTTAAAGTTGATTTATTTGTGTTTATAAACTGTTTTTGAAAGGCACAAACACCCATAAATATGTATTTAATTGCTAAATTGGTATTTAGTTATGGTATTTGATTACTGATGTAGTTGTACACATTCTGTTATTATGATTACAATACGATTACATGGAGTCTCATTTGATTGAGGATATCCACTAATGTAATACACGTACTGTACATCTGTACATGTAATGGAGCAGATAATCAGAGTACACATGAAACATTTATTTCGTAATATAAATTCCCTTTATACTGTCCATGTGTGTTAATTTGTACAATCCACTGATGCAATATTCCTCTATTTAATAGTGGTACCACCAGGTGGACATGTACATGTACACATGCATGTGTGACATTGTGTGTACATGTAGCTACAAAAGAACTAATTTGTAGCTATACATTGTACTTCCACGGTATACTTTATCAATTTTTAGAAGGTAGTGATTCACTAGCTGTACAAACACACAGAGTATTACTTATTAAGGAATAGAGTCTAGACTAGGCTATGTTGTCATTTTGTGCTCATAAGGAATAGACCGCAGGTGGTGATATTCTCTCCTTAATATTTTGTTTATTATGTATTCTGGTTTGTACCAATGTACTCCCAATGCTTTTAGCTCGACAGCTGTTATTGCTCTGTTTATAATGTGTTTGGACACAGACCCCAATGTACTGTACATACAGTATATACATCAATTTGTGATGTGTACCTTAATCAAAGTACAGTAATGATTCTAAAGCCCTCCATACACTAGGCAACATGTTGCTAGCAACTTCTGTGGTCACTTTGATCTTGTGTCTAAGAATAGAATTCTGTTCTATTTTTGGAACAAAATGATTACAAGATCAAAGTAGCCACAGAAGTTGCTAGCAACATGTTGCCTAGTGTATGGAGGCCTTAATGTACACCTGTACTTTATAATCCTATTTCTTGACTGCATTAAATACACTGCTAGATTTATAATAGTATACTTGTACATGTTAATACTCAAATGAGGTTTCATACTGATTGTATGTGTGTATTATTTCAGTATTGATTTTGTGCTAAAATGAGGTCATTGGTTGTGTGCTTTTGTTCCTCTTGTGGTCTTATGTCTGTTTCCTGGTGGTGTCTGGGTTGTGGTAATAAGTAGAAAGGGAGGGAGTTATATGGAGGTTAGTATGACCTTCCTATTGTGGACACTCTAAAATAAGGACACTTTCATAATCAGGACAGGCAGTATCAGTCCCAATACAATAGTAATGTGTATTAATGAACCTCTGAAATAAGGACAGGTTCATAATCAGGAGCTAGGGTATTATTGGGTCCCAAGGTGTCCTGAATAGACAGGATTGACTGTATACTCATCTTAATGGGTATAAGGCCTACAGCTCTCTTTAGTATAGGTATATGTACATGCACTGTGTGTGTGTGTGTGTGTGTGCTCCTGATGATGAATATGTCTATGTACAATGTCCTCTATTGTTTGTGAGTGTTTATCATGTTCTGTCTCTATTATACTCAAGGGACTATGAATAGCTGTAATGGTACAGTCACTGGTCCCTCATGTGAGTATTGATCAAAGGGCAAACTGTCTCATATTGATTATGAATCTCATTCTTTAACTTTCTTCTCCTTTTTATGTTTTAGGTGGCCTACATCATTCATGATTACAGCTACATGTACTGTACATATGAACACTATAACATCTTGTTTATTGCTTGATCAGTATGTACTGTATGCAAGTCATTTTTTAACAACTTTAAAAATTCATAAAAAATTCAAACTTGATTGGAATCAGCTCAAAGTTTTTAGGCATCATAAGAACATGTCTACTTTTCATTTTTGGTAAAATTTGGCCCGAGACCATGTACTATAGTACAGGGACTTTTGCCCGATTTTGGAGCAACTTTAAAAATTCTGATTCATTTTCTACCATTATTATTATTATTATTATTATTGTTGTTGTTGTTGTTGTTGTTATTATTATTATTTTATTTTGACAGAGACTGCTGGAATGAAGGACACTTTTGTATTTCCTGAGGAAAATGTGACGGCATTTGACGCCTATTCATTCTTTGTAAATGAAATTAATTTCAACGACTCTACAACTGGCAATATATTCATTGGTGCCAAGTAAGAGCCGAAAATAATAATAATAATAAATGAAGAGAAGGAGGAGTAGGAGCAAAGAGAGAGGGTGGATCTTTTTATGTACTTTTATAATTTTTAGGAATATATTATATGAATTAAATATAAATTTGACGAAAGTTAAGGAATTTTCTTGGGGTGCAACTCCTGCCGAAGTGACAGCCTGTAAAACAATATCAGTGGATGACGTAAGTACATGTGCATTTATGTACACTATACATGTACAAATGTATTCAACTACACTGTTCATTATGTATTTATGCATGTACATGTACATGTACATGTACAGTATGTGTATTATACATGCAACAGTACAGTACATACATTTTAGCAAATGATTCAATTTGGTACATGTACATGTATGACTTATTTTCTTCTTCTCTCTCTCTCTCTCTCCCTCTCCCTCAGAGTTTTGCTTGTCATAACCACATTAGGACATACAGGAAGTTACCTGATACAACTGCCGCCGACAGACTTTATGTATGTGGGACTGACGCCTATGCTCCAAAATGTCGGACATTAAAACTGGTAATTTACATTTGATATGTAATCCAATATGGTGTACTCCTACAGGCAGAGACACATGATCATACCCAATACACTCATGTGTTCATTATTGCTTAGTATGCCAATAATTTACTCATTTATTTTCATGTTTACAAATTTCACATGACATCCTGAGCAACTATGTACAGTATATTTGTGTAGAATTAAAATTATTATCTACCCCCTCTCTGCCTCCCCCCCTCTCTCTCTCCCTCTCCCTCCCCTCTCTCTCCCTCTCCCACTCCCTCCCCTCCCTCTCCCTCCCCCTCCTCTTAGTCTGATATCAGTAACACTAGTGAGGCCAGTGATCCTATAAGTACTCATGATGTTGGCGTCATTTCAGTCCATCCATCCATTCCTGCACTGTGGGACTTTCAAGGTACATTTACATGTACATGTATTTATACTTATTTATATTAATGGCATTTGCTATAGTGCACTGTATGTACATGTACATGTACAACTCTACACTTGCAGGACTTTATTGTCCTTGTTCCATTGTGTGTTTCACATGTAAAAAATTAAACATGTGTTCAAATTTCTTGCTGATTTATTTTATACATGTGCATGTATACATGTATATACTAAATGTACATGTTAAAACTATCATTTTTTCACTTCTTTCTTTATTTTAGGTGACGATAAGATTGTTGCTAGCGGTTTCTACGCTGCTAACTTGTGGAATTCTTTTGATTTCGCTCGTTACAATATCTCATACAATACCTCATCAAAGAACCTTGAAGTATCGGGCAAGGACCGTACAATACAGTCGAGTGATGACTTCCAAATAAGAGGTACCCCCTCCCTCCCTCTCTCTCTTTTTTATTTTACTTTTGTTTCATTATTATTATTTTTTTCCTATAGCTCCATATCATCCAATTGATATTTACAATGTCGACTTGTCTGATGATGATAACTTTAAAATGTATTTATTTTTCTTTCGAGAGAGAGAGTTCTTAGCGACCGATTCAAGTTCTGTAAGTCAATCCAACATCTGCATGATCACGTACAATACATGAGTGTAAACAATAAACATAAACAATACATCGGTTTGTATGTGTGTATAGTTTGTTGTTGTTTTGGTTTTAGTTTATCATTTTATTCTCACTCTCTTCTTTCACGTCACATTCTCTCCCTCTCTCCCTCAGTCTCCTGTAAGATCAAGACTAATAAGAGTTTGCAAGGTACGTACGTACATGTACCTAAAGTTACATTAAATTATTATTAATTTTTCATCATTTTAGGATGACAGAGCTCTTAGTGGAAACCTATTTGGTTCGCTGGTGAAGGCTGAGATCTATTGCGGGAAAGAGCCCCTGGGAACTCCGGAATCTTATGGAGCCCAGATTTTCTTTTACACTGGACTACGTGAGTTCATCATCACATTAATATATAGAGGCTACACTTTACATTTGTAAATTTTTGGAGACCATAATCTACTTGTGTAACTAAAATGGGAGACTGTAGGCTAAATATGAGAGACCAAAAGCTAAAAAAATTGAAGATGTCAAGCCTCCTAAACTCTCTCTAGATCTAACAGTCCAGTACATGTGTAGATTGTGCATGCCAATTGATCATTATTTTTAAAGTACTTTTCTCCATTCATTAGGCGATACGCATATGACTGATGTTAAGAGTCGCTGGCATGGTAATAAGCATATATGGCATAAGCTCATGTATGCAATATTCACCAGCGAACAGTAAGTTTGATACTATAATGATATACATGTACATGTACATTTACATGTACATGTTTACACCCACAGTATTTGTTGCTATATACTGTACATGTACAGGTTCATATCCTCTTATCTCACTCTCACTTTTTCCTCCTCCCCCCTCCCTCCCTATCTCTCTCTCCCCCCCTCTCTCTCATAGATATGCCCCCAACGGTACTGCTGTCTGCGTTTATTTTGCCGGAAAAATTGATATTGGAGTTGCAGGATCTTTCCTGGCCGAGACTTACAGAGGAGTCTATGAAGTGTTCAATCAAAACAATTTTGAGCGAAGACTTGGGGATGCTAAAGCTAGAAGCTATCTTGATGTAAGTACTAAGTACTTGTACTACTGTATACGAGTTTTTTTACATTGTACATGTACAATGTACATTACATGTATTTTGTATCCATGTACATGTACATTACATGTATTTTATGATTGTTTTAATTACAGTGTAGCAAGGCTAATAATCGTTTTTCAATGGGTGAGTCTGACTATATTCGGACTAAAAGTGGCATACAGCAGTATTATGGGATCTATCTTCCTCTGGCGGAGTTCCCTGGAGAAGTGTAAGTTACTGTTCATTGAGCCTTTGCTTGTTTATAATGCAATAATATTAAATTAATTACTCTCTTTTTTACGTGTATTTCTTTCTCTCAATAGATTCACTAAGGTTGTTACTGATAGAGCTTGTGTTACTGCTTTTAATGACAGTTCACATTGTCTAATGCAAGATGTTATATTCCTCTCCACTAGTAAGTACTGTATGCATTTACATGTACATGTACAACATGTGAATTAAAGTTGAAGTCAATTCTGACTAAATATTTTTTCTAAAAAAGGCTTTCAATTTTCCATGCTACATTTGCATGTACTTTTTATGTTGCATACAATACAACAGTGTAATCATACATCTCACACAGATAATGGTAAGATCTATAAAATGGCGCTTACCACTAAACCCAGTGATTATCCAATGGATCGAAGAGCAGGTCTGCGTCAAGTTTCACACGATTCTATAGTATCTCAAGAATGGGAGGTAACGTTTACATCCTAATGGAGTACATGTACATGTACATTAACTTTATAATCAATGAAGCAATAGAAGAGTATCATGTGTCCTTGTCTACATGTACATGTACTCTTAATAATCAAATTATTGGACACCATCATGTCTGATTGTTTTTGTGATGTTATTTCATCTCTACTTCATGTAATTACATACTATACACTACATGTACATCAGCACGTCTTAATCAAGTATTATCATTATTATTTAAACGTGTACATGTATTTCCAAAAAGAATTTATTTATGTACACTAATATGTTATTCTACTGTGTTACATGTGGTCCTATTGTTTACAATTAATGAATTGATGAATGTGTGTCTCTTTGTAAACATGTTGTAAATCAGAATTCTTTTGTTATAGCTGGCGGACAGCAGAAGTGTTGAGCAGCTATATTTGAGAGTAAGTGACATATTTTTTGACACTTTAATGCAATTTTAATCTACTCTGTAATGTCCTGTTTACATGCCCACTCTCTCCCCCCTCTCTCTCTCTCTCTCCCTCCCTCTCTCTCTCCTCTCCCTCTCTCTCTCTCTGTTGCTTTTTTATTCTCTTAGATTGAGGGGAATTCAAGATACCTTTACGCTACTACCTATTCACGCGTGTACAAGTTTTCAGCAGTGAGCTGTCACCTTTACGGCAACTGCAGGTACAGTACATGTACATGTTGCATGTGCTAATTTGCAATTTGCCTGTCCTTAACAGAGACTGTATAAAGTCACGTGACGCTCAATGCGTGTGGGACACAAGCGTTGACGGAGGCAAGTGTGTGTATAACAATATAACTGCTGGTGAAGATGGTGAGGGAGATGTACCATCAAAGTAAGCAACTGAATTAAAGAGTACACACTTACATGTATGGCACTGAATGTCTATAATTATTTATATGTAACATGTATGTGTATGTACATGTGTATGTGTATACAACTATACATGTAAATTTTACTATCTCTCTCTCTCTTTCTCTTCTAGTATTTATCAAAATATACATACTGGTTATCACAGTATTTGCAATGGTAAGTCAAATTAGTCAATCAATGAATTTCAGTTACAACTCAAACTTGCTACACAGCATAAGGGCATTAATGTGTATCAAAAAATGTAATAAAAATTTGGGGTGATTGCTGAGCCATTTTTTGGAAAAAACCATGGGCTGCCTTGGCTATTTTTTAGATTTTTGCCATTTTAAAAAAATGGCCGTAACTTGAAAATTGAAGTCGGAATCAGCTCAAACTTTCTACACAGCATAAGGACATCAATATGTATCAGAAAATGTAATAAAAATTGGGGGTGATTTTGGAGCCATTTTTTGGAAAAAGTGATGTACCAGCCTGTACATGTACGTGTATAACCAAAGCCATTGACCATTATGTACACATGTACATGTACAGTAGTTACTACATGCATGCTTTGATTAACTCTATTTCTCTTTTCCTTATTTTCTTTCTCCTTTACAGCTCCTCCTATTTGTGATGATATTAAAATAACTCCAAACTACCCAACTGGTTTCCTTATAACTGGAGCTGATACATGTCAGGGATACACATCTCTGTCACTGAATATTATGTCTCATTCCTGCAATGAGTCCGGCTCAACTACTTCACATTCGCTCAAAAGTAAATTATACATCTACAATGTACATGTACACGTATAATGTACTTCTATGTACATGTACATGTAATGCACCTTAGCATAGGATATTGAGTACTGTACGCTATGAAGTATTTATTTTAATTACACTTGTGTTTTGTTTTGTTTCAGATAATCATTCTCAGGCAGTTTCCAGTAGTCAGTTTCTTGGACGTCACCTGTGAGTCTGCCCCTATTCATTAGACCATAATTAATTATTATTATTATTTACTTTATAGCTATAAGTTGGACTTCATTGCTGCTGGCAATTCAAATAGTTCAGTCTACACATTTTTTGTTACTACTGTTGACGGAGGTAACCACATGCATGTAAATTAATTTAATTTACACAATTAATGCCCTTCTTATATTTATCTCTACTTTTTTCTCTTCCCTTAGCCCCCACCATGCCAATCAGCAGTGAAGTGACAGCTTCGAGCAACAGCACAGACTCTGTTAGTGTCACTGTTTCCTTGAGAGGCTGTTCACTCCACAGTGATCCCACTGATCACCGAATATGCGTAAGTACATGTACATGTACACATGTACATGTACATGTACATGTTTATTTAAACTGTCATGGTTTACACTGTTGTTGGTTATATTTTTTCCATTAGGTTTTGTTTGAGCGTTTAACTGGTGGTAACTCCCAGTGTCAGGATTATGCCGGTATTAATGTGTTTCAGTTCACTGGATTAAACCCATGTGAAAGGTACTGCACGTTTGTACATGTACATGTTACAGTACATGTACTACATTTACTCATTAATTCCACTTGTACAAGTACATGAGTTACTTGCATTAACTAACATATTCTCTCCTTCCTCTCTCTCTCTCTCTCTTTCTTTTGTAGACTTGATTATACTGTAGGAATTGAGAATTCATTTGGAAGTAATAATGGTTACAATGGCAGTATAGTGCCACTGTATTCTCCTCCTAATCCAGTGACTGGAATCAGTTCAGTACCTGGTGCATATAATGTGGTTTTATCCTGGTCCGCTCCTACTACCGGTACTAACTATTGCGATGTCATTGGATATTCAGTTTATATGAATTCTGTTAAAGTAAGCAAGAGTGTTACATGTGCATCATAGTACAGGGTCTTTGGCCAGGTTTTGAGTAACTTAAAAATTTTGTAATGAATCTAATTTTGAATGGAATACATGTATACACTGTACATGTAAGAAAAAATTATAAAAATATACAATTGTACATCTATCACTTATTCTTCTCTTAATACTCTAGAGAGTGGACTGTGCCTCAATAGAAGGGACCAGCTACACTATCTCTGGACTCAATGCTTCCTCTAACTATCATTTTGATGTTACTGCTTGCTCCAATGGAGGTAAAGAGCTAGCATGTACATGTACATTGTACATGCATTTTTTGACATACAGTACTGTATTCATGTAATGCCTTTAAATCATCTTTTATCCGTTTACTGAATATTCTTTGATAGGCGAATCTTCTAAAGTGTCCCACAGTGTCTCAACATCTTGTGGCCCTCCCTCAAGAGTCAGAGACCTCACCAGTACTCCATCCGGTACAAGCTCGTTGAGTTTCTCCTGGAGCCCTCCTGCCATTGCTAATGGAGTCTTGACTTATGTGGTGAGTTTAGTTGAGCGGGCTTAGTTTTAACGTTGTTAGCAAGATAACTTTCATATACATGTACATTGTATAGCTTCTCTTAATGGACACTCTCTATAGCGTACACCTCCATTTAACGGACAGTACCTAGTGTACCAATTGCATTCCTTACTTTATAAAAAAGCAGTGTCCATTATATAAAGGCTACACTGATGTACATGTTTGTTCATTGCTGTTTCTCCTCTTATTAGATATATCAAGAGTGCTTTAATCAAACAACATTAGTGACAGATGAAGAGCCTCCAGCCTACACATCCGATCCAGCATTCACTATCAGTTCCTTGCAACCAACCACACTATGCTGCATTAGAATCTTCCCTAACCTCACCTGTGGTGGCAATATATCCCTTGGGGACGAGAGGCAAGCGTGTGAAACTACAAACGACGGTTCTCCGGGCCCGGTTGATGGTCTAACGGCCACAACCTCTAGCCCACAGTCGGTGCTGGTCCGTTGGTATCCTCCCCTTAATTACACTGTCCCTGGTATATCTTACCTCATCACTGCAGTGCCCGAGGGAGGAATGGGAAATACTGTTTCAGAATCCACTTTCAATCTTTTCTTTCACTTGACCGATTTGCAAAATGACACAGAGTACACTATAACTGTGTCTGCTCGCACTAAAGATGGGTTCTCTGAGGGTCCTTCGGACTCTGTGGTGGCCACAACGTTCCCTTCTTTTCCAGACCCACCCACTGACGTTACCATTTCAATATCTGATTGTATGGCTACCGTTACTTGGGATGACCCGACTAATGAGAAATACAGTGTTGATAGCTACATAGTATTTATAAGATGCAACAGGTTCACTAGTAACAGCAGTGCTGCGTCTACTGAAAGATCTGTTCAGTTTAACATATGCCCTGGAAACGAGGTCAGTCCTAGTTTCTCTTGGTGTGCCACTCAGGTCATGAGCGAGAATGACGTGGGACCTAGCGACTTCTCTCAATGGACTAGTGCAATTGTACCACTTCAGGACATTAGCACTCCACGATGCTTCATCACTGAGGACAGAGGTCACACTGTGTATATATCTTACACTATAACAACAGCTTATGCACTGGATGCATTATACTATAATTATACTCTTGAGAGTAATGTGGGTAACTTTGATGCTGATCAGAACATTGATCCAACTACTAATAATACTTTGGAGCTAGTGAATATTGTTAGGAATACTGATTATGTCTTTAGACTCAGTTTATGTGATAAATCACGTTTGCCTTATCTTTGCAGCTCTCACTGTGTCATAAGTTTCACTTCGAACTCGGTAAGTATTTTACTTGAATTTTTTAAGAGTTTGCCAATTGTATTCTACCAAATTGATGAATGTAAAAATTATTTTAAATAACAGTAATACATGTACTTGTATCTGATCATAATCCTAATATAATTATAATCTCCAAGAATTAAAATTATTAATATTATTATTGTTATTATTATTATTTTTCTTACAGGCAATACCTGGAACACCTGTCAATATCACTGTATACATAGACATAGTCTCATTCACTGTAATGTTCGGTTGGGATGCACCTCCTAACGAGAATGCAAGCTCATTGTCGTATTTTGTTCAAGTCAGTGGTCCTGACTATCATGTTGTGTATCAAACATTCAGACAGTATATTGAATGGCCTGGTTCTCTCACAGCAGATGACACTTATTCTGTTAGTGTCTTGGCTCATCACAATGCTTCAAACATTAACGGCTCTTTTGGAGCTGGACCTTCCTTTAAAATGCCTCCTGGTACTCCAGGCCCTTGCAAGTACATTAAAGCTATATACAGTTTTGATGATAGGGGCAGCCGATTGAGTATTGTCTGGGAGCCACCTGCAATAAGAAATGGAACAATAAGGAACTACACTATACTTTATTGGTCTAGCAACAGAGACCATGATTGTGCTAGTCTTTACATTAGATCTAGTGGTCCTATCATTACCACTACTTCTGATCCTTCTGTCCTGACAATGGATTTTAATGATCCCGAAGGCTTAAAGGATCCTCAGGCTGTGAGGGCCAGTGGACTTATCGTGTGCATAGCAGCTGCAACACATGCTGGTAAGGGAGAATGGAACTACACTGCCATTGGAAGGGAAGGAATTGTTGACTTTAGTACGAGTGGTAACACATCAGATGATGCAAGTGAAACTGCTCTCTATGTTGTGACAGTTGTAACAATAATGGCAATCATTGCTGCTATTGTCATTGTAGTAATATTTGCTATCCTTTGCTACTTGAGCAAAAGGTCTAAGACTCCAGCTTCATCTTTATCTCCAACCAGTAATGGCAGAATTGGAGATAGTAAGTTGAAAATTTTCAAACGGCACAGATCTTCTAAAGTAGCCACGCCTGTTGAGCCCTCGCAAAGTATAAGATCCACTGCTTCCACTACTCCAATGGTTCCTGTTCAGGACTGAGTATCATGTGGTGGTTGTCCTGGGGCTAACGTTTATCTCTTTATAAAAAAACCTAACAACTTCTCCCTCTCAATGCCTTGATATGCTCTGTGTATTTTTCATGTAGACTCGTAAATTTGTGTAGTTTTTTTTTAAATGTGTAATAATTATTCTCTTCTTTTCACTCTCTTCTTTATTTATTATTAATTCCCTTTCCACACACTCTCTCTTTTTCCCTCTTTCTTAATGTGTCATGCAGAATTTAACGTACATGTACATGTACTTATTTTAATAAAAATAAATTAATTACTGCTAGAGAAATTAGTTATTAATTATTCAGCTGCAAATTTCTTCACTTAATATTGCATCTACATGCATTGAATTAATTAATTACAACAATAATATTCAGTGGAACTGCAAAAGAAATAAATTATTAAAAATATTATTTATTTAGTTCATGAGGTGTCAGTTTCCATTATTTCCTTCAGTGTCTTTATTTCTTGTCTAACTTCATCTTCAGACTCAATTTTACTCAGCTGCAGTGAACACTCAAATGAGAGCCGCCATACATAAAACATCAGTACCAACCTGTGTCTTCTCAAGCTTCACTCCTTTATCTCTCTTTACTTTCAGTTCTTCTATCGACTTTAACTTCTTCTCTAGTTTCCGTAAACTCTTAACGTTTGGGTTTTCTGATGATTGAGGGGGAGGAGCTTGTGCAGCAGTGGGAGGGGCTATAGCTAATACTGACAGATCAATCTCGGGAGCTCCAACACTACAATAAAACAATAAAATACTCATTCTTATAACTACTCATTCTTATAACTCCTATTAAGACCTAACTTACCCTGTGGTTCCAAGGGCAGCAGTGTCTTGTATTGCCCACAATTGCTCTCTGAGCTTCTGAGCTTTTTTGAAATCCTACGAAAGACAAGTACAAAAAGGTAGTACTTCTAACATTGAAATATTAACATTAATTTATGCATGAACTAGCAGTTACTAATGTTATATACAGGTTAATTTATATGTACCTATTATTGCCCTAATAATGAATTAGGGCAATAATTATTATCAATCAATCACCTTGTTAGCCTTTGCCTCTTCAATTTGCTGCTTTAATTGAGCTATAACATTTACTTCAGAAACTGTTGAATCTTAAAAAAAATAAACAGAAATATATATATAACAATAAAAAATTGTGAATTTGTAATCATAAATCTCAACACGATACTGACCATATTCATCGCTTTGTGCTTGTTTCTTTTTCTCTCTCTTTTTTCTATTCTTCTCAGCTGCTTCACTTGCAGATCCACTCTCTAATCACTGTATGTAAATCATTACAATAAATACATCACTCACTGACCTGCCATTGAATGAAGCAAAACCTCAATTAATTTTAGCCACACCTACCAGGCATAGTAACCACGCCCATCAGTAACCACGCCCATCAGTAACCACGTGGAACCAGATGGCCGAAGTTGTTTCCAAGATTAAGTACAGTGGTGGGAGAGGTAGAGGGGTTTTGGGTGCTTTTAAAACAAAGGAGCTCGGTAATAAAGCTGCCTCTGAGATCAAAGTAGAGAAAAAAGTTGAAGAAAAGCAAGGTATAAAAGACTAACGTGATTGGACTGAAGTGTGACATGTAATAGATGAACCTTGGCTAAGGAAGAAGCTCTTAGTTGCCAATAGTTACACTGCTAATCCTGATTCTCCTGGCGGATTTACTGAGCTCACCATCAAGAAGGGTAATTAATTAATTAACTACCGTGACCGCACCCACTAATTATAATGATAATATTAGGTGATATTTTGGAATTTATATCAGAACATAAAGACAACGAGCATTGGTGGGAGGCTAGAAATGGAGACGGTATGATTGGGTATATACCATCATCATACGTGATACTAAAGGAAGATCAGGTAATATTGGCTAACTATTAATGGCACGTCAGACATTTTATTTTTGGATAATGATTCAACTAAATTTTGTTGCTAAAAACCTTCTCTTTTGTGATGGTGAAACAATCTTATAAATATTTGACACATATTATTTATTTATTTATTTATTTATTTATAGGTGTTGCCCTGGTTGGAACAGAGTGAATTGGAGTCTCGTGAACAAGAGAGACAGGAGCGTTTAAAGAGACAGCTGCAACAGAAAGACCTTAATCAAGGGGTTGGGTTCGGTCCTCCTCCAAAACCTTCTCAAAAACCATACGTATACGTATCAGCATATAACAGGTAAGAGATGTGGAAGAGAGAGTAAAGCAGGAAGAGGTAGATGTACATGGGCCAGGGTCTCCCATAAAGCATGCTAAGTGAGCTAAACAGCATGAGCTTCATGAGTTGACAAGCACTTCAATACAGTACATGGCATTTGAAAAATTTATAAAAAATCCAATTTTGATCAGAATCTTCTCAAAGTTGCTACAGAGCATAAGAACATGTATATGTATCAGAAAAAATTATAAAAATGGAGAATTCTTTCGTAGTCATTTTTCGCAAAATTTGGCTGAGGACCCTGTACTATAGTACAGGGACTTTTGCTCAATTTTTGAGTAGCTTTAAAAATTCGTAAAAAATTTAATTTTGATCAGAATCACCTCAAACTTGCTACACAACAAAAGAACATGCATATGTATCAGGAAAAATGATAAAAATGAAGAATTCTCTACTATTCATTTTTGGTGAAATTTGGCCAAATACCCTGTACAGCGACTTTTGCTCAATTTTTGAGCAACTTAAATTCAATCATACTCAGCTCGAACATCCTACACAACACAGGAACACAATAGTAGGATGGTTTCATCATAATCATTATATAGGCAACCAGAGAAACCCACTCCTGATTCATCAGCTACTACTCAAAAGCTTTTCTATTGCGAAGTATGTGAGAAGTCATTTAATGGTCCCAAGCCATACAAAGCTCACATGGCATCACGTGGTCATAAAGAAGAAGTGGAGAATCAGGAGTACGAGAAGAAGCACGGCTACTAACTAGTAATCCAATATCAATTGTATAATCAGGACATTGCATTAAATCACTCTTATATTTTATCAAACGCACACATTGTGATTCATAATCAATATTATTTTAATTCCAATGGCTTCACAGAATGTTCTCCTTTCTAAATAGTTTTGACTAAGCACTTTATAAAGCTTTAATCTTTTTGCACACAATGTCAAGTTCTTTACGTAATCGTGTATTAAGTCTTATCACTGGATCTGTACCACACGGTAGAAATTCAATCAAAGTGGATGCAATACCCTCCACAATATCGAGTATAGAGCTGCCGTTTTCATGTGGATGTATTTTGCTGAATATCTGTAAGAAGTCTTTAGCATTGAGAGATACTGGATAATTAGCTGCTGTCTCTATATCTCTTAATTTATTCAAGTATTTGATGACTTCGTTTTTATCTGATTTTTCACGATTAACGTACTCGTTGGCTTCTATATAGTTGATCCTACTTACCAAAATTCCAGCAGCAGATCGAACTATAAAGGAAATTATTAGCACTAGTGGGAGCACAATTTCAATCATAAGTGTCATTCCTACTAGCGTTATAACAATTCCAAATGCTAGCAATGATATGTTCCAATATCGTTTTGCAAAATCTGCCAGGTCATCGAGCTTTTCGATAGTGTTTCTGCGTGTCTCTTGCCATTTTAGTATTTTCTCCATCGTATCATCAACCATTGATTGTATTGTGTGAGCTGTATAGCCTGCACTAAAAGAGTTATGTTACATTAAAACTGCTTTACCTTGGAGGTGGAGTGAGTCTTGTAGCTCAACTGCCTCTAAAAATTGGAAAAATTTATTTTCTCAGTTATACAGGTGGGTAAATTTTGAGACAGTTTAATTTGAGACTCAAAATTTACCACCTGTAAGGTATTTGAGATTCACTTTAGTACATCTATTACTTATACAAGCACTTTATGGTTCATACCTTGCACTTCATATGCTGTTATCATTTCTTCGGCTAAAGCAATTCCAACAGTATCTTCTAGATTAAAGAGAACAGACAAGAACTGTCGAAACACGTGTGGTTTGGTTTTCACAGATCCCCTTATTGTGTGGACCAGATACTCCAGTCTCTGTGTAGCTGTCATGCCACAATGCCTGTCTGTAACTGTCCTGTAGCATTCATCTGATATAATGCTACTAGAGAATAGGTTCCTTGCCAGTAGGAATGGATCAATATTGGAAGCAACCAGCCTTGAGGTGTAAGCACTTATAACATTGTGTCCTATGGATGGAGTAAGAGCACAGAAGACATTCTGTTCTATTCTTTGTCTTAGATTAGGCCCTGACATAGCCACAAATATATTATGGGTGGAGCATTGAGGAATGTACAATGTTTTCACAGTAGACCATAGTTATGTTTATAATGATTAGAGGTCAGTTTCTTCTTCCTTTTCCCATTACATAGTCTCTCACCATCTTCTTCTCTTCCTCTATTCGTGTTAACTTCTTGTCAGATACTTTTTGCTTTGAGAATGGAGCAATTTCTCTTTCTGATTCTTCATCAACCTGCAACAGAGAGTACATACATACATGTGACTCACTGCTGCTGTGATCATGATCAAAGGAATATTCCTCAATCTTACTATTTTATTTAGAAGTGTCATAGGATCAATGTCATCTGGAATCTAAGATGATTAAACAATTAAAATGGCTGCATTATCTACTGCACAATTTGCAGAATGAATCTTACATGAACGTATCTGATTTGTGATCCTTGTATGAAAAGATTTTCACAATTCATTACAGTTCCCTGTGTTCATAAAGAATCTTTGCAATAATCACATTAATTACTTACATCTAAGTATTTATACTCTGCCCCACTGATGGTTGTACTAGCATGGTAAAAATTGGAAATCATTTTTGAATAATTGTTAATCAAATCTTACTTCATTTTATCATCTACATTCACTATAGTGCCCTTGATAGTAATCTCATTCCGTAGCTCAACAGTTGTCTTGCAATTTTGCAAACCTTGAAGGAAGCATAACAGAGTCCTCAAGCTCTGCTTCTTGCTACTAGTCGCCATTTAATAGGCGTGGTCACCCCGCCCTTAATCACACATGGCTACTTCCACTGAAGGGAAAAGCAAAAGTCGAAGGTTTTTGCTGCTTTATGGCTCTCAGACAGGACAGGCAGAGGCAATAGCTGGACTGATACATGAAGAAGCAAAGACCAGAGGATATACACCTGAACTCTATTGCATAAGCAGTTCAGAGAAAAAAGTATAATAAAATCTGAATAGACTTGACTTTTCTGTTGTGTTGTAGTTTGATCTTAGCAAAGAGCCTGTTGCTGTTATAGTAGTATCAACTACAGGAGAAGGAGAACCGCCAGATACTGTGAACAGGTTCTGGAGGAAACTTAAAAGATCTACACAGCCTCAAGGCTTACTAAAGGACCTCCAATATGCTCTATTAGGTATAGTACATAGCTATTCGGTTATTGGTAAAACCAATGGGCTGTGTTTGTTTAATACTGAGATAATGGTATATGTACATGTGTTTCATTAACTTTAATTTATTCGTTTAATCTTATATAAATAATATTAACAATAAGTCAATAAAAGTTTTCAAATTTCTCTCTCTCTCTATTTTTCTGTAGGTCTTGGTGATACGAATTATACCAATTTCTGTAATATGGGGAAAATGTTGAATAAGAGGTTGCTAGAGCTAGGAGCAAGGTGGTTTCATGAGACTGGCTATGCTGATGATGGAGTGGGGTATGTGAAACTGTTTATATTTCCTGGTATTTATTATATGCTTTAGGCTAGAGTTGGTTGTTGAGCCATGGATAGAAGGTCTTTGGCCTGCGTTGGATGCTGTTTTTAGCCCATCAACTGATCAAGACACACCAAAGGACGCCGGTAATGATAAACCTGGTCCTACTGATCACCAGTCTAGTGATGTAGCTCAGAAAACCTCGACTGATCAAGACACGCCAAAGGATACCGGTAATGATAAACCAGGTCCTACTGATCACCAGTCTAGTGATGTAGCTCAGAAAACAGTTGAGTCTTCATCTCAAGTTGACAGTCTTGGAGTTGACGTGGATGAGAAGTTGAGTATCAAAACAGAAACTGGGTCTGATGATTTTGAGACCTCGTTGAGAGGTTCTAGGGATGATTCTTGGATCAATCAAGTCATTAATCTACCTACTTTGCAGCCTAAGTACCTTGAAGTCCAGATAAAAGAAGTATGCTGCGCATACAATTTAGTTCAATTTACATTTTCTTTTCTTCCTCAGCCAGTCTGTGATTCCCTTGGTTCCGATGATTTCTTGTTCACAGACTCAGTTCAAGGCTTCACTATGGCCTCGTCTGTGGTGGTTAACATGGCTGCCATTACTAACAGGAGAGTATTGACTAGCTCTGACGCACAGAAGACTGTCCTAGAGTTAGAGCTGGACTGGTCAAAGGCAAGCAAATGATGCTATACTCAAGTATCTTTTGACGGTCTAACTTATAGTTCCCCGAGACTCGTTTGAGATATGAGCCAGGAGACGCTCTGTGTCTCATGTGCCCTAACGATCATTTGGAAGTTGATTATATCATCAAAAGGTATTGGTCCTCATGGAAGAGAGAGAGTGTGTTGAAAGAGATGTGTGTATATGTATCAGAAAAAATTATAGAAATGGAGAATTTTCTCTTTGTGATTTTTGTCAAAATACCCTGTACTATATAGTACTGGGTCTTTGACTTAATTTTGAGCAACTTGACATGTGTTTACGTTAGGTTAGGTTTAGAGTCTGCCTCTAACCATTGCATCTCAATATCTGTGGTACCAAACACTGGAAAGAAAAGTAAACATTATTATTAGCATTACTTATTATACATTTATTGGTGTACAGATCCCATCATTCCTAAGCACATTCCAAGCACATGCACTGTGTACCAGTACTTTAAACACTGCGCTGATTTGAGGGCTGTGCCAAAAAAGGTAGAAATTAAAAATATATTTTTATTTTAATTTTATTTTTAAGGCACTTTTACTTGTACTTGCTGAGTTTTGTTCTAATGAAGTTGAGAGAAGGAGATTGCAATGGTTTGCTAGTCGTCAAGGTAATGGCACCTCTACTTCTGAAAATAATGAAACTAGACTCTCTTTGTCTCTCTCCTTTTTAAAGGCTCTCAGGATTATATGAAACTTATAGCAGAGGCTCATCTTGATCTTCTTGATGTCCTTCATTTCTTTCCATCATGTAATCCTTCACTATCAAGACTGATTGGTTAGGAACACTCACTCACACACACACACACACTCACACACACGCACACACACACACACTCACACACACACACACACTCACACACACTCACACACACACACACACACACACACACACTTAATTCACTTTATTAAATTATTAATTTAGAGCTACTTCCTAGACTACAGCCAAGACATTATTCTGTTGTGAGGTAAAGTGTTCATACATGCACATGCACATTATGGTTGTACATGTTTAAACTGATTCTACTTATTTTTAGCTCTCCATTGGATTATGAATTTAAGACAAGAATTGCCTTTAACATTGTAGAGCTACCTCAACGCTCCTGGCAGAGACTAAAGAGGTTAATACAGTATTATCACAATTAGTGTTAGTTATTATTATATGCAGGGAAGGTCTGTGTACAGGCTGGTTGAATGAGTCCTCTCTTAGTGAGGTTCCATCAACTGTCCCACTGTACCCACGTCTTAAGAACCCATTTCACTTACCGCCTGATCCTCTAGTACCAATAGTATTAATAGGACCAGGAACTGGTGTGAGTCCTCTTGTTGGATTCCTTAATCACAGGTTAATGTAATGCATTGCTTTTCTGTCAGTTTTCCTGTTTCTCCTGTATTGAGTTTAATTTCTTCTTTTTGTTTGTGTGTGCTTAGAAGTACTATGGTAGCAAATGGCTTCAAAGTAGGGAAATCATGGTTATTTTTTGGCTGCAGACATCCTGATAAAGATTACTTGTACAGGTATGTGTACATGTATATCCAATTACCTGGTTTACTACACTCCAATGTGTTACAGCTAAAAATGCCTTTAAATTTTTGTGTAGTGTAATATGCAGGTACTTGTACTTCTGGTCGTAATGAATTAAAATGTAAAATTGGCCTAAACACTTGTCTATGTATATCTTGGCACTTGCCTGAAATGTTTTTCCAGATATTAATTAATAAACATCCTCTCTAAAATACACATGTACCAATCCTAATTCATTAATGCAGCTATGATTTACAATGCTAGAACAGAACAGATTATGCACAATGTACATCCACCATTTTAAGTGAACAATGTGATCTGCTAATGTACACGTAGGTCTGAGATCGAGGGTTTCCTGTCAGCTGGGGTATTAACGTTATGCAACGTCTCCTTCTCACAATACGATTCAATCTCAGATGGTAGCAGTGATCATGCGAAATATGTTCAAGATAATATGAGGAAGCACTGGGAGGCCTTGGGGGAGTGGGTTATGGAGGAGAATGCATCAGTGTTTGTATGTGGGTAAGGAGTAATGAAGAGATGCTATACTGTACTTTATTTTTGGTGTTGATTGCGTGTAGTGATGCTCAGAAAATGATTGTCAGTATCAGGGAAGCCATGACTGATGTCTTACAGAAGTACTGGACACATAAAGGAGGTGATGTTGTTTAACTTGATGTGTTTGTGATTTTTTTAATACTTAAGGTGTGACTGGTAATGGAGATGGCCAGAAATTGCTTAAGGATTTGCAAGATAAAGGAAGATATGTAACTGATTTATGGATTTGATATTATTAATTAATGCCATTATTTGTGAATTATGATTATTTATTTATTTATTTATTATCTTCTATATTTTTAGAGCTATATTTATTTGCTAAGATATTATTGCTTATTTTAAAGAAATAGGATTATTATGATAAAGATTTCTATAAAGGTACATATGCATGTACATGTACATATGTATTAAATAATACTAAAGATTGAACTAAACTATGAAACTACTGCTATCAAATTGTGTTCATTAATTCTGATTAGACATGAGCTTGGATCAATGCAGTCTGCAATGATTTTTTGACAGCACTATCTGCTGCAGCTTTAATTTCTTTACTCTTCTGAGCAGAATACTTCCTTGTCTCATCTCTAGCAATTTTTGCTATTCCAGCCTTCACTGCTTGCGATCCAAAAAAACTCTTTAATTCCTTTTTGGCTGCCCTTGTTGCTGCATCTTTAGCTGATGATTTCATGTGATCCTTCACTCTTCCAGCAAGCATTGACCCAACAAATGGTACCATAGACTCAGCAACGTACTGAGGTATGTATTTCATTGCTGCACTCTTCCCTGCATCTTTGGCTGCACTTTTTGCCTTGTCCCTTGCTTGTGACTGATATTGACGTATTGTCTCTGACTTTGTGGCAGCAAACACGTCCGAATGAATGACAGCACTCCCTGCACTGATAGCTGCAGACTTTGCATGATTTTGTGTTGTTGGATTCTTCAGGATATCTTCAATCTTCTTAATACGCATGTTCCTTGAGGTAAAGTACTGCAACTGGAGGATTTTATCCAGCGTTGCCTTGTTGTCCTTACTTGGAACTTTATATACTGTTAATACTTTTGATTTTGCCTGCAGTTCAAAGAGAGCACCCATCTTTAGGACTGCTTTATAAACTGCATTCCCAAGAGCAGTTACATTACTGGACGTGAAGGGAGTATGTAATAGTACTGTGTGGCATACTTTGAATTCCTACAAAATAATAATAATAATAATAATAATTTGTGAACTGTAAGTATTGATCAACCTTTGTTATGTCAGTCAGAATGCTGTCAACCAATTCCTTGACAGTAGCAGTGACTCCATTCATCGTGACAGTCTCATTCCCAAGAAAGTCGGTACTGTCTGAGATGATTTTGATAGACTCATGAAGTGATTGATATATGAGACCCATATCTTCAACGGCCTTTTCTAAGTCAGTCATATCTTTTATTTCTTGTGCTGTTAGTTTAGGCTGCCCTGCACCTCCTTTACCTTGGGCTGCATTCACGATTTCCATTATCTTCTTGCCTACCATGTCCATGAGCATGTAAGCATTAAGGATTCTATGAGCCCATTTCTTTATTATTTGGAGCATGGAGGATTTTGTTTTCCCTGCTTCACCGGCTGTGCTATCTTCTGCAGCAGTATCTGTACCTGCACTAGTTGACTCATCTATCACTTGTTGCAGTTCTCCGGAGATCTCTTGGTCTACAGTCTCGCTGATGACGTTGCCCACATCCTCTCCTATTGTAGCATCAAGACTAGTCTCCATGGTTGTGGTAAGCTCAGCATCAATCATCTCTCCTACTATGGCAGTCGTGTCTGCAGCTTCTGCAGCCACTGCAGCTATATCAGCTGCCTCTGCTACCACAACTCCTATCTCTGCTACTTCTATCCCTACCTCTAGAGCTACACCTGCCATTTTTTGCTACCAAACTGGTTGTGAAAAGAAGAATTCTTAAGCAAAAGATGAGTAGCTTAAGATTTTATAGACTATTTTCAATGAATATGATTAGTTTCTCACCTGAGATCCGCCTTCTTTACAAACTGGCCAGCCCCACCTTTTTGTAAAATTTGGGGCGAGAGTTAGTACTGAGGATTACTCCTTACAATGCTGCCAGGCTTTAGGAGCAGTAGGAATACCAATAGCAGCAATGAAGAGGACAAAAAGAAGCTAAGCAAGAAGAAGAAGACTACAGGAAGTGGACACCTCCTTGATACATCTGTGGGCTGCTCTGATATGGTCCTTCTTGATCCATTGACTGTTGAAAATATGGTCCAGAACTTGCAAGAGAGATACAGAGCAGGAGAAATTTATGTGAGTATTGAGCACTAGCTTTGAGATATTCCCTGTCTTCCTCTCTCTCTTTCTCCAGACTTATATTGGTCATGTAGTAATATCAGTCAATCCATACAGAGAGTTGGATATTTATTCACAAGAATATGTAACAGAATATCGCAGTAGGAACATATTTGAGCTTCCACCACACGTGTATGTTCAATACAGATCATAACTGTAGCACTTACTGTACTTTTATCACATCTCATATTGATTCACAGGTTTGCAATAGCTGATGATGCCTATCGGTCACTGAGGGACAGAAACAAGGACCAGTGCATTATTATATCGGGTGAATCTGGAGCTGGTAAAACTGAGGCCTCAAAGCAGATCATGCGTTATGTAGCTCAAGTGAGTGGCAAGGGAGAAGAAGTGGATCGAGTGAAAGAGCAACTTCTTCAATCCAATCCAGTTCTAGAAGGTTTGTATACTGTATATAGTATAGAATTATTAAATTTTAAATTTTTTTCCTTAGCTTTTGGTAATGCAAAGACCAACAAGAATGATAACTCGTCTCGATTTGTAGGCTCCATTATATTTTTGTGAATGATTAATAATTATTACGACAGGGTAAATACATGGATATTGAATTCAATTTTAAAGGAGATCCAGTGGGAGGTATCATATCAACTTGTAAGCAATAGAAAAGTTCAAAAGTGTATTTATTAAACATTTCTTATTCTTTTAATAGATTTGCTAGAGAAGGTAATGCAATTGAATATCATGATAATCAATAGCTGATATTTCTCTTTATTATAGTCACGCGTCAACTACCAGAGCACTGGTGAGCAGAATTTTCACATATTTTTCCAGTTATTGTGTGGAACTGATGAAGACTTCTTGGGTGAGCTCCTCATTGCTTTGCTTTTACAGCAAGGATTGTTTTAGGAATGCTTCACTTGCAGAAAGACTTCAGTAAGTATAGATACTTAGTCTCAACTGATGTAGACAGACCTGATGGATTCCTTCAGCAGCAGGCAAAAGAATTTGAAACAACACTGGTAATAGAGAGCTCAATATTTAACATGCATGCAGCATATTTTGTGCAGAAAGCAATGGAAGTTATTGGTTTCACTGCTGAAGAAATAAGCTCAGTGCTTGAGCTACTGGCTGCCATACTGAACCTTGGCAATGTCACATTCAAAGGTTATGCACTCCCTAATGGAACCAATGCCTGTGAGATGCAAAACAACATGGAAGGTAAACTTAAACGCAAGCTACATTTGGTTCTAAGTATATTCTCCATCTTCTATAGCTGCAACTTTTGCCTGTGATATGCTTGGTTGCTCATTGGAGCTGCTAGAGCAATGCCTGACAAAGAAAAGTGTAGAGACATCAAAGGAAGTGGTCTTAACACCACTCTCTCAAGCAGAGGTGAGGAACCATCAGTCCCACATTTACTAGTTGTTACGTGTATACTCTTCTTCTACTGATAGAGTGAGTTTGCACGTGATGGACTCTGCAAAGCTATTTATGAGAGACTGTTCAAGTGGCTAGTGAGCAGAATCAATGACAAGATTAAAGTAAGCATGAACATACTTTTTGCACTAACTAATTCTCAACAGCCTCAAGCCCGTGGGAAAAGGAAGTCCATTGGTGTCCTTGATATATATGGATTTGAAGTTTTCAAGGTACAATACTTACACATAGGCCATATACAACACTATACTTGTGTTATGGGGGATAGCATTAAAGATGCTAAATTACTTAGTTTCTTTCCTTTTCTAAAGAGTAACAGTTTTGAGCAGTTTATGATCAATTATTGCAATGAGAAACTCCAGCAGCTGTTTGTCGACTTGACAATCGGATCTGAACAGAAAGAGTATATAATTGAAGTAAGTGGAGCAGCTGTACTTTGTCATTAAAAACTGATCTTTTCTTTCACTAGGGGATTGAATGGGAGACTGTGGAGTTTTTTGATAATTCTGTTGTTTGTGAAATAATTGAAGATGTAAGTAGCTCTTCTATTAAAAATTCACCAGTACTTTATTTTTAAAATGGTTTAAAAATTAAATGCTTTTAAAATTATTTTTGTTCAGCCAAAGCAAGGAGTAATAGCACTACTGGATGAAGAGTGTCTTAGGCCAGGAGAGGTAAGAGTCTATTCATTCATATGTATATGAATATAACTGTACACTATTGAACTAAAGTAGCATGTTGTGACATCTATTACTATTATTATTATTATTATTATTATTATTATTATTATTATTATTATTATTATTATTACTATTATTATTATTATTATTATTATTATTACTATTATTATTATTATTATTATTATTATTATTATTATTAATAGGTAAATGATTTGACATTTCTCGATGGCCTGAACAGACGATACGTAAAAAATGAAAACTTCATATCAAGGGCCTCGCACGACCATCGAAGTGACACAACTCTTGAGAGAAATCAATTCAGACTAAGACACTATGCTGGAATGGTAAGGCACATACATGTACATGTATGTATACATAAATGTGTACATTATTAGGTGACTTATGACGTAACTGGATTCATGGATAAGAATCGTGATCACTTACTGAAGGATTTATCTCAAGCAATGTTCGCCTGTGAGAGAGCTTTACTAAAGACCATGTTCCCCGAGGGGGATCCCGAGTCTCGGCATCTTAAGAGACCTTCTACGACTGGTTTTAAGTTTAAAGCCTCGGTCAATGACATGATGAAGAACCTTTTAGCTAAGAACCCAAACTATGTCCGTTGCGTGAAGGTATGAGAATACAGTGGTTGGGTAGTGATTGATGGGTTTTTGTAGCCGAATGATTTAAAGAAGTCGAAAATGTTTGAAGCTCAACTTGTTGAAACTCAAATCCGTTATATGAAGTGAGCCAGTTTTATTAGCAAAATTGCAATAGCAAATGCTAAATGATGATATTTGTGTGGTGCAGCATCAGCTCAGTAACAATTTAATGTACATCTATGATATAACGACTGTGTTATTTTATTGCTAGTTTACTGGAGAATGTGAGAGTGAGAAGATCTGGTTATGCTTATCGTCAGTCGTATGAACAAGCCTTGCAACGTTATAAAATGCTTACTAGTAAAACGTGGCCAACCTGGAAGAAGAGCCCAAGGGACGGAGTGAAGACTATATTAAAAGTTAAACTACATTCATAGGTAAAGTAGGTCACCCTCTCTCTCTCTCTCCTTTAGGAGTGCAAGAGGAAGGATGAGGAGTATTCTTTTGGACGTACAAAGATCTTCATTAGGAACCCTCAAACTGTTATGGACTTGGAGGAGATGAGAAAGAAGAGAATGCATGATTTAGCTACCCTCATATCTAAAAGATATCGTGGATGGATAAAAAGAAAGAAAGTAAGGAAATTTTTAAGAGTTGGAGAGACTTAATAAGTTATTTGAATAAGCATCTGTTACATTTAATGCCCATTTTAAGAGGTGTAGCAGTAACGAACTAATGATGATGATTTAGATTATGATTATCATAATCTACTTTTTTTATTAGTTTCTGCAGATAAGGAACAGTCAGATTACTATTTCGAAGCATCTAAGAGGATCCAAGGTTTTTGCTACAAACAAAATCACTAATTATACTGCATTTCATTAGGTCCGTAAGCAGTACCTCATCAAAAGAAATGCTACCATTGTGATACAGAGCTATTTCCGTGGCTGGCAGGTATATTGCATACTCAGATTACTCACCTCTCTCCCCCTCTCCCTCTTTCTTTTATGACTTTGCTTCATTATTATTCTCTATCTTTTCTCTATCTCTTTGTAAAGGTTCGTGATACCCTTGCTAAAGTCCGAGTGCTATCAAGACAGCTTTATGTCTCCAGTGTCATTAGGAGATATTATTATGCTTGGAAGCTACGTAAAGTTATTAATGACAGAATACACAGCAAGAAGTATCTACCAGCTGCTATCGTTATTCAAAAGTATTACAGAGGATGGAAAGTGAGAAATATGAAATAGTTTTTGTAATAACTAATGTATGTGTTCATGACTTGTCTTATTTTTAATTCTTTCTCTCTCTGATCTCAAATTCATGAAGGTAAGGAGAAAGGATACAAAATCACCACAAGTACAAGTACCTCTTACAATGGATTCAGAGAGCACTGATACTCCAGCGGGTACAAATACTAATGGAGTGTTACCAGAAGCTAATACTGAGAGTGTTTCAGATGATAGTGAAGAGGAGGAGGAGGAGGAGGAGGAGGAAAGTGAAGAGGAGACCGAGGGAGAAGAGACTGAAGAAGAAGAAGAAGAAGAAGAAGAAGAAGAAGAAGAAGAAGAAGAAGAAGAAGAAGAAGAAGAAGAAGAAGAAGAAGAAGAAGAAGAAGAAGAAGAAGAAGAAGAAGAAGAAGAAGAAGGGGGAAGAGAAGAAGAAGGGGAAAGAGAAGAAGAAGGGGAGGGAGAAGAAGGGGAGAGTGAGGAGAGCGAAGAAGAGGTTAAAGTTAAAGTTGCTGCTCAAGTTTCCAAAGTGCCCAAGGAGGTTACTGTTGATACTGACTCTGCTGGACTCTTAGTCCTTAAATTCATAAGGAGATCAGTAGTAAGGACATTAAGAGTTTCATGTTGTCAGTATAAGTTTGATACCTTTTCTTTTTCTTATAGCAATACAAGTTCCTATTGACTCTTTTATACAACCTTCCTTCTCGATCTCCAATTGACAAGAAATGGCCGCGTTGTTCTCCTTTGTTTAAGAAGACGTCAATTCTTCTACGAAATATTTATCATAAATGGAGAGTAAGTATATTTTTAATATTAATATACAGTCTCGTTTGTAATTATGATGGCAAATCTATATATATTGGGCAATTTCATGAAAATTGAAAAGAAGAAAATTTGTCATTTTTATAATGTTTTCTGATGCAAATACATGTTTTTATGTTGTGTAGAAAGTTTGAGCTGATTCCGATCAAAATTGTATTTTTTACGATTTTTTAAAAGTTGCTCCGAAATTGGGCCAAAGTCCCTGTACTATAGTACATGGTCTCAGGCCAAATTTTACCAAAAATAAAAAAGAGAGAATTCTTGATTTTTATAACTTTATCTGATGCATATACATGTACTTATGTTGTGTAGAAAGTTTGAGCTGATTCCGATCAAGTTTGGATTTTTTACGATTTTTTAAAGTTGCTCCGAAATCGGGCCAAAGTCCCTGTACTATAGTACGTGGTCTCAGGCCAAATTTTACCAAAAATGAAAAAGAGAGAATTCTTGATTTTTATAACTTTATCTGATGCATATACATGTACTTATGTTGTGTAGAAAGTTTGAGCTGATTCCGATCAAGTTTGAATTTTTTACGATTTTTTAAAGTTGCTCCGAAATCGGGCCAAAGTCCCTGTACTATAGTACATGGTCTCGGGCCAAATTTTACCAAAAATGAAAAGGAGAGAATTCTTGATTTTTATACCTTTATCTGATACATATACATGTACTTATGTTGTGTAGAAAGTTTGGGCTGATTCCGATCAAGTTTAAATTTTTTACAAATTTTTAAAGTTGCTCCAAAATCAGGCCAAAGTCCCTGTACTATAGTACATGGTCTCGGGCCAAATTTCACCAAAATTGAAAAGGAGAGAATTCTTCATTTTTATAATGTTTTCTAATGCATATACATCTACTTATGTTGTGTAGAAAGTTGAGCTGATTTCAATCAAAATTGGATTTTTTACGAATTTTTTAAGTTCCTCAAAAATTTATACAGGTTATGATATGCTGTATAGTTGTAATGTGTTGCTAGACAATTAGTATTATTCACCAATGTAAATGTGTGGGTGTTTTTATTAGGTCAGTAGACACATTTATGTCAACTTTTATGTTTCAGGAAAATTTCCTGAATACTTTCATGCGTGTTACATTCCTTCCTAATTCTTTGTTTATGAATTACGACGGCCTATTATGCTTTTATGGAAAATGGGCAATCATCAGTAGGACCATTTATAACGCGTCACTATTTCTTTTAAATTATTGTTTGGAATATTTCCTTTGATTATCGTAATTATATCTATTCTACGTCATGTTTATACAACTCAACATGTCTTTTGAAGTATCCCTCTTTCTCTCCCTCTAATTTTTCCCTTTTATTGTATCCTCTCCCTTTCTCTCTCCCTCTCTTTTTCTATCAGTGTAAACTGGTAAGAGATTATTACAATGCTAATCCAATGGTGAAGCACAAACTGTCAGAGAAAAGTCGTGCCAGTACTCTTTTCAAGGGAAAGAAATCAGTCTATCAAGCATCGTTAGTAAAATTTTTAAAAAATTGCATAAAATTTTTATCATTTATCATGAACATGAATCAATTTTTGTAATGCACAGAAAATTTTTCATTATTTTTACAAATTAAATAATTAATTTTAATTTTATTTTCATTTCTCAGAATCCCAGTTGCTTTTATATCGGATAGGCTGAGGATCAAGTCAGATGAGAGGTGGAAAAAATTAATTAATGATGTATCAGATACAAGAATAGTCTGGGCTGACTCCGTCCAGAAAATGAACAGAAGTGACGCAAAAGTAATAATAATAATAGTAATAATAATAATAATGATGATGATGATGATGATAATAATAAATAATAATAATACTTTAGTTTAGCTTTCTGTTCTGTCTGTTTTTTGTTTTTCTTTTGTTTTCCTTATGGGCCTTCCCTTTTTGTCTCTCTTTTGTCCATCCTGTTGTGTTTGTCATAATAATAATAATAATAATAATAATAATAATAAAATAATAATAATAATAATAATACTATATAATACACACATTATACTATAATAATCAATTTTTACTTATATTTATTTCTAGTTGTGCAGTAGAGCTATAGTCCTCACATACAAGTCTCTGTACATACTGGACTCTAAGAACTACCGACTGTTGTATCTGCTGCCATTGAGTGATGTAACTGGAGTCTCTCTCAGTCCTTTTAATGATGGATTCCTTATCATACACATCAGACCAGTAAGCACAGCACATGTCGCTATCATGTGGTTTTAATATTTGTAAATCAAGTGTCTTTTTAATAAGTAATGACTATAATTATACTTTTTATATTACAAATACATGTAACTGATAAGTGACGTGGAAAATTTACCAATTATATACAGCCTCAAGTGTCCTAATAAATAAACAATTATCCAGCTGCTACTTATCAGATTTGTATTTTATTTTCTACAATATATCAATCTTTTTTATGTCTTATATCTAATAGCATGACGGTCAAGACAAGTCAAGACCTAAAGGTGACTTGGTTTTATTAACGAAACACATTGTGGAGGGTGTCACCAAGCTAAGTGTCGTCATCAGACAGCTGCAAGTCAACTTTAAAACAGAGTTAGAAAAGAGGCACTCTACATTTTATTTTATATATTCTTTTCTAGAATTGAGACACAATTAAAATTTGGTGAGTTATCGACGATTGTATTCAAAGGAATTTCTGGTGACAATGGAAGCCCAGTCTGTCAAAGAAGGGGCGGAAATACAATACTAATCCATGTTGAACAATGAGATCACCATTATTATTGTTGTTATTATACATAATTAAATTATTAACTTGTAATTATTGCATTACATCAGGTGCTTCTCACATACTGAAGCTCATTTTACAGCAAATTATAATTATTTTGTCAAAAACCATTATACACAATTTATAATAATAATAATAATAATAATAATAATAATTTGATAATTATACTTGTGTCATTAAATCTCTCTCTGTGTGCCCAATCATTTACTCAATCTTCGTCTCCCGATTTAAAAATGCTAGAAAATAGTCCACTTCTCCTGTTGTCATTAGTCCTCCTACCTGCTTTCTGCTGCTGTCTGATGCTATCTTGTAACTTTGAGCTGTGCATAAAAAAATTAAAAATTGCAATAAGCTTATCTATATTGTAAGAAGTATTGTATTTCCTAGTGCTTCAGTTAGGATAAAGCAATAATTTTTTCCTTACAAGTTACAGCCTGCTTGTTCACACTTCAAAGTGTTAACAAGGTGTCAAAAAGGTGTTAACAAGGTGTGATTTTTCAGACAGGAAGTACCGTATAGCCGGAAATTTTGGAGGGAGTAAAATTTGGCGAATTGCTAAATTTTGGTTATTGGCGAATTTTAATTTGGCGAATTAGTGGCCACGTGCCATTGAGCATGCGTATAAAGGCTCAAAATGGCGGTTTTTATTTTGGCGAATGAAACTCTATTCGCCAAATTCGCCAAATTTTTGTCCTTCCAAATTTTTGTGCTATACGGTACTTATTTTACCACCAAAATGAGAAAATTTGGTCAAATTATTTAAGCCACTTTTAATTATAATACATACTAGTTAATTGCACTAAAATTAGAGGAAGACTATAAAAAATAGTAACTGTATAAATCTGAATTTATTATAATTGCAGCAACAGGCAAAGATCATCATGAACTGCTTACATTTGATCTTGTAGTTCGATGATGATGCCACTCATTTCCTTCTTCTCCTTCTCACTCTCTCTCCCGAGGCTGTCCAGTTCTCTTTGGAGCTGGTTGATTTGTGTATCTCTTACAGACACCAGCTCTTCATAATAATTCTAAGACACAAAAGGGCAATTAAAACAATCAAAACTGTTGAAAAACTGGCTCAACAAAAACAAGGCAAAATTGTGAAGGTAATGGCTACCTTAATCTATATTTTAAAGATGCCATACATTACATTACATGTACCAGTCCCCCAAATACATGTAATTTCTCAATGTTTTGTCTCGTCTCTCCTTTTCTATAACCACACCCTATTCTATTTTTCACTATCCTTCATTCTTCTGACACCCATCAGCCCTTTCCTTCCCATTTCTCTCCACTCTTTTGTTTTTCTTTTACTTTCTGTTCTCTCTCCACTTTCAGTAGCTCCTTAAGTGATGTAACCTCTTCCTCTTCCTCTTTCTCTTCCTCCCTCTCCTCATCAATTCCTCTTGAGTCAATACTGCTGCTTGTTGAAAGCAGCCTCCTTTCCTCCTGTCTATCATCTCTCCTGCTGCTAGTACTAATATGAAGAAATAGTGAAAGAGAGAGAGAGGGAGGGAGAGGGAGGGGTAGAAGAGAAAGTAAAAATACTATTAAATACACACACAAGTGTATGTCTCACAACATTAAGTCACTGATTATATATACATGCACATGTATCTGCCAGGGTTTCCCATAGGATTTTGGTACCTTCAGCGAATTTTAAAATTGCTCAAAAATTTGGTCAAAGACCCTGTACTACAATCAAAAATGGCTAGGAGAAAATTCTCAATTTTCATCATTTTCCTGATGCATATACATGTTCTTATGTTGCGTAGACAGTTTGAACTGATTCTGATCAAATTAATTTTTTTATGAATTTTAAAAGTTTATAGCTCAATTATAGGGTAATTTTTTTCTTCATGATTTCTGTTCAAAATCTCCCTCTCCCTCCCTCTCCCTCTCTCTTAGCTCTCCTTCCTCTTTCTCTATCGTTTTCCCGTAACTATGATGAGCAATGTGACATTATCATATGTTATTAATAACAGGAATATGAAGGTGGAGGGAGGGAGGGAGGGGTAAGGGGAAACTGATGTATACAAACAAACCAAGTGCATATCAATGATCACACACAATTAATCATCTTATCCGAGTATGTACGTAATGCGGACCGTCTGGGGCATAAGGATGGACAAAAATGGTAATGAAAATAATCAAATATAAACATAATGTACTTAATAATCTACACTGAAGGCATAAAAAGCATTACTCATCATTATCATCATTGTTATTATCATTATTTTTATCATTATATTCCTGGAGCAATACTGGGGATAACTTTATGCTATAGAACTTGAATATTAAAAATGATTAAAATAATAATTAACCCGAGAGCATATAATGCCCACCTATTAGACAATGATATGACATGAAAAAGATAAGTGGACACGTGGTCAAGTGATAAGAATCAATATATGGACAGAAGACTACAAATTTCCTTCATGAATGAACATGATACCAAATACCAAATTGGTATTTGCACACACACACAAACACTTTTACTGATTCCGATGGATGCATGTGCGTATATACATGTACATATATAGCAATGAAAGCTTAGAAGGACAGAGGATAATATCAGGAAGTGAGTGTAATTATTATGTTATAAGATATTGCATTCATTTACATATGAGCTATACTACATTACTGACATAATAATTGATAAGCTAATATGGTATAGTGTGTGTGTATGTGTGTGTGTGTGTATGTGTGCATAAGCTGCATGGAATTGTTTAAGTGAGTGAATGTGGATATGATCTATGACCAGATCAATACAATTAGCATGTGCTACTGCTATAAAATGGGTACAATACTTTGCATTAGCTATAAAATACAGATAATGAATACATACATGTACATGTAGCTATATTGAAAATAATCATTCATATACCTAATTAGGACAAAAGAGTCTAATCCTTTCATCTTGAATTGCATCAGAGTTTTAAAGCTTAATTGTTAGTAATCAATCCACATATTTGAGCTGAAACTGTGAGTACATTACAATCAGGAGTGCATCAAGGAGTGTGACTACAATTACTATATTGTAGTTACATCATGCATGCACAGGATGTGTGCAATCATAAATTATTATTTGACCAAAAAAAGAATAAAATGTAATTATTACTGTACGTGTTATTTTCATAATGCAACACTGCTCATCCCTAATCTGACCACAAAGTAATTTATCACTGAGCCTCATCCTCCTAGCAATCAACAATGATTATGATAATAACGTATCCCATACTGTTATTAAACTAAGAGAGAAACAGTATCTTAAATTAACAGTATAAAACAATTAGAGGTCTGAACAAGTCACAAAGTGCACTATATATGCCTTATATTCCCCTGACAATAAAATTATTGGCAAAAGATAAGATATAAATAAATTTGCTAAAACTACAAGGATGAAATGGAAGTGTGAACTTGATCAAGGGAACAATTAAAAAACAATAACAATTGTTGCAAAATTAAAAGAGACAGTCCACCAACTAGATGTTACGTGTATCAAAAACGATAAATAACTAGAAGACAATTGTAACTCAAACCATAAATATGAGTGCTTTATACCTATGACTAAATCAGTCGTAGATACAAAATGCAGCTGTGAGTCTATCAGGTGGAGGAAGCATTTGCTGGTCATCAAGGAGACATTGCTGAGTGTATGTGTATGTACACATGTACACATGTATAATGTGATGAGGTGGTAATTGAGGTAGTGTAGAGTTACTTTTGATGGAAGACAAGATAAGGACTATAGTCTATCTCTAGCTTATCATAATAATCAAAGTCTTGATCTCTTAGGCAAAGACTGTATAGTTAAAAGAAAGAGAGAGAGAAAGGGAGGAAGAGAGAGAGAGAAATGGGGCGGTGATAACTCTAAATTTAGATAAGCTCTCTTTTACTTGAAGTCAATTGCATCAAGACACTTTAAAACTCCGGCTACTTCTTGAAGCTCAGCCGATATCATTAAAGCACCTTGCATGTACGCCACTCTAAAGAAGGAATAGGTATACACACAGTGGTGGTGTACTATACATGAAGGACTCACTTCAGTTCATGTTGTTTACTGACGAGAATATCCATGAATGTAGCCAACCTCTTCTGAACAAGAGAGAGTCGAAGCCACGCCCTACACTATAAGAGAAATCATGAGAGAGAAAGAGAGGAGTTTATATGTAAGACAAAAAGAGACAAAATGACAAAGAAACATGCAAAGGTACATCATGAAGTAAGCAGGGTTTCCCACAAAGCATGCTAAGTGAGCTAAACAGCATGAGCTTCACGAGCTGACAAGCACTACAATACAGTACATGGCATTTGGAGCAACTTTAAAAATTCGTAAAAAATCCAAACTTGATTGGAATCAGTTCAAACTTTCTACACAACATAAGTACATGTATATGTATTAGAAACAATTATAAAAATGGAGAATTCTCTCCTTTTCATTTTTGACGAAATTTGGCCAAAATCACTGTACTATAGTACAGGGACTTCGGCTTGATTTTTTAGCAACTTTAAAAATTCGTAAAAAATTCAAACTTGATTGGAATCAGTTCAAACTTTCTACACAACATAAAAACATGCATATCTATAAAAATAAAGTATAAAAATGGAGAATTTTCTCCTAGTGATTTTTGTTGAAAAACCCTGTACTATAGTACAGGGTCTTTGGCCTAATTTTTGAGCAGCAATGGAATAAATGAGATGAGACAGAAGACGATAATAGGTGGACATACTTTTCCTAATTCAGTAGATACATTTTCCATGTCATCAATAGATCCAACAGTCACAGAAGAAGCATACTGCTGTATGATATGCCAGTAATGGACTGGATCAGTAGTACTGAATATTGACCAGCGAGCTAATGAATGTATGTGGTGCATACAATGTGGAAAAGATAATACATAGTGACAAATACAGGGAGGGATTTAATGTCTTAGATTATTGCTTTTAATTTAAAATAAAGTGTTAACTGAAAATAAATACCTTTTTTGAAACTAAAAGCACATGTACAATCAAAATAGCAAAACAAACAAAAATGAAAGAAGTAATGCTAGGTCAATGCATTATATACATGCAAATACACAAGTATATACATATAATATTTGTAACTCATGATACAAAATCAGCTTAACTAAGTCTCCAACCTTGCATTCTGTGTAAAAAGATGTGTTCCAATACGTTACAGAGATTATTCAAGTGAGGACAATCGTCAGTTATGGTCTCAAAAGGAGATTTATCTACTAGGCTCTTGACACACATTCTGAGTGGGAATGAGAAAGAGAGAGAGAGGGAGGGAGGTATTCATGAAACAGCTGTTTCAACCTCTCTCTCACTTGCAAACTTGAGTCATGTTTCTTCTCTGTACTTTCAGCTGTTCTAGGACATGTATGTCCGCCCTGCTGTTTGCTCTGAGCCGTACAGAGCTCCCGCTATGATCATGGAGCCTTGTATTGTTGCTGCTGCTTCGAGAAGAAGACTCACTCAAGAAAGCTCTCTCCATTACATAGCATAACTCCGTTCACTCTCAATCAATCTCCGTATATTGCATAGTTGTTAATTAAATGTAATAGTTAATTAATGTTTCATTTAATAATAGTCATAATAACATTTGTACTGTTAAGTGAGACAGTGTGCAACAAAAAGTCAAAATTTTAATGTGCCTAGGATTAATTGTCAATAATTAAACTATGCTCTTCATGTAATAAGGTGTTATTTCTCCGACTGCAACTTTGAAATTAGTACTAGTGGCATCAGCAGTCAGATAGAGGTCATCACCATCTGTCTCTTCTCTAACTCCTATCCATCTTGGAGTAGTGGAGCTTTCAGGATAGCAACCAATAGTAAACTTTCCTCCTTTCTGATAGAACTTGTCTCCAGTCTCTATCACAAAAGTAGTTGCCAAATTACTATCCTAAAATTAGAAACATGTGGTCAATAACTATATCAATCATTTGCATGCACAATAATGAATTGCAACTGTCATGCAAAAGGATTACATACCGTAGTTACTGAAAGGTCTCCATTGCAGTCTTCAGTGTAGTAATAGACTTTCTCAAGATTGTGCTCGTGGTATAATTGGACTCGGTATGACATTACTCCTTCAGCTAATTCGGCGTAAAGAGGACCTGTAGAGAATGACATCATAATGATGGACAGTGGCATTAGTAGGTTTATGAATTGGAGGACAATGCAAACAAAATCAGAAGCCAATCCATGCATTCAGTGCATTCTGATGCATGCATGTGTCAGGTATGTAATAAAATGCAGGCTGTAAAGCATAAATATGAAGAATAAATTTACATGCAGAATGTTAAGAGTATAGATAATGAGAATATGCATAAGTTTGTTTCTTACTTGCAATCCCAGTTAGCTTTCTCTTGAAGACTGCAGGCCCAGTCTCATTGACAAAGAGGGAGTTATCAATGTTAAGTTCATCCCTGAGCACAAATGTTATGCTGTTTGGAATGGAGATGAGAGTTTGGAGGAGTAGAACAAAAGGCAGGACAGCCAAAGCAGGCATTATTGTTATAGTATATTATTAATAGTTGATTGTTTTTTATATATAAGTAGCTTGAATTGCTCTGTAGAGAGACCAACTGTTTGATTGTCTACCAATGAGGGCTGCTCTTTTATAACCAGTCAATTCATTATCTGATGAAGCCTGTTTGTATAACTACCTTCAATTAGGAAGCCAGTGAATATGGCATGGCGTAATGATTGCTAGTATGTAACTACTGAGAGTATGGGCATAACCACGCCATCACAAACCATAACAAATCTTACCCTAATTATCTGTACTGCATTCCATACTATGTTAGGAAGGGAGATGCGCCAAAGGGTTCGAAAATAAAACTACCGTTTGAACATAAAATAATATGCAGCCAAAATTGGAGGGGAACTAGACTTAAATATTTAAAATTCAATAATAATGAGGTTGAAATTATAGGATGTCTCATAATAGCCACATGCATTAAAGTACATGAAATGATGAATCAAAATCAAAGTCATTTAAAACTTTAATGCACTGTGTACACCAAAATGTCATCATATTATACGCTTTTTTTATATAATGAAAAGGCTTTAATTATGCTCACAGAACTTATGCTGTACATGCCGACCCACACAAGCTGTTGATTCTAAAAATAGAAGTAGCAGGAGATTAAGTTTGCTTAGTCGTTGACACAGAGATATCAGGCTTCTTTGGTTCCAGTAAATAAATAGCTGGAGTCACACAAAATGCTAAGGTGACATCATAGCCATTTTAATTAAATATTCCCAATCCAAATATAGCCACTGTCCATCAAAAAATCACCATCTTTGATCTATGAAGAACAAACAAAAACTATATTTATCATACTTGTGCAAAAATGCATAATAGAAATTAGCACTAGCATGACTATTTAGGTGCATGTACTTGTTTAGTCATATATATATATATATATATATATATATATGACTTGGTAATCGTGCAACAGAAGGTGTGATTCAGACAATGATCAACTGATCAGTATAGGTCTCATTCCAGCAGAACCAGTCAATACATCATGATCAATTATTAGAGGAGTAGAAAATAAATTTTTAATAGTTCATTCAATTAATGAAAAATGTGCTCGGGTATTTGATAATTTAGACTCAGTAAATAAAACTTAATTCGATAAAACATTAATTTAACATGATTAAATACTGATGCATGAAATACTTCATTTAAATAAATTAAATAATGCTTTCCTTTAACGAGATAATAAAGATAAGGCTACCGGTTAGTGTTTGATAAGAATGCATTTTGTGTATCAGCCATTTCTCCAGCCAAAGTTTCTTCATTAATAGAACTATCCGTTGAAAGAGACAGGTGCTGGAACTAAGACTAGACTACAGAGAGTCCTTGTTGGCACGAGGTAAGTAGGCAATGCCAATTCTGTGTGTGTGCTTTACAAGTGGCCTCTCATAATTAAAGGTTATAAAATAATGGCCGTATATGGTAGAACTTTGGTCTAAAATTAAATTCAACAATTTGGCTTGGTGTTTGACACAAATAATGCGCTAATTGGATTAAAATCCATAAGTCGAGATGGTTGGAATTTAAAACGAGATTCTTGCTTCAAAATAAATATTTTGTTATCACTCTTATTTACATACACATAAATAGAACAGGGGGCAGCCCGTTCTTAGAGTATAATAAAGTAAGCATATGCAAACATAAAATATAATAGCATTAACAAATTAAAACTAAAAACAAGTTCAATTCTCAGTCTCAAAACCGTCTTTTATTCTCTGCCACGTAGTCATGCCCTGAGAAGTAGAAAAAATATAAAATAAATTGTTTTCTAAAACAGTAGTTATACAAGAGGGACCAGAAACGTTATACAAATTCAATGTACAATCAAAATGGTACAAGATGTTAAACAAAAAAATCACGACAAAGACCGGAATAAAGGTATATATCTAGGTCCTCAAGTTTTGAAAAGTGTACAGCAAATGACAGCAGTAAGCAGCCAATAAGGACACCTGGACTGTGTACTTATAACACTTACAATAACCAACACTTTAACAACCAACAAACGAGTCCAACTGACTATCTTTAAGCGAGTCAAAAAACATTGATAGATGTACAAGGATATCCCACATGAGGGCCCAATGGTTATCATAACAATATTGACCACACGCTTAAAGAAAAACAAAAATATACTGAAGTATTGGTTTTATTTAGTTACATAAAGGATACAGCCCTGAGTCATGTCATGTGCCACAGGAACTCAACACTGTATGTATTATAAGAGGAAGGAATACAAAACTGGTTAGATCATGCTAAGATGTCACACTGAACTTGAGGCACTAAATCCTGCTATGAGTAATGATGACAGAGTCTAGTAAATCTTCTTGTGACAAAGTTCTAACCAACTGATACACATAAGCAAATTAAGAAATGTGCAATTGGTTGGATACCATACAACTGTTGATGGAGCAGCTGCAAATGCATGTACATGTACATGTAGTTTCGAGTCTTACTTTCTTGTGAATGTGAAGCTGGAGCTGAACATAATTTATCAGCATGCTACGGAAGTCACCAAACTTTTGATCATTGAAGTTTTCTAATTCTTGTAAAGCATCACGAGTGAACTCGCTAGAAAAGAGAAGGAAAGTAACATATAGAGACACGTGAAAATAACGAGAAGAGAGAGTGAAGAAAAATTAATGTCCTACTCCTACTACATACTCAAACTCTTTCTGTATGTCTGTGAGTGCTTCTTCAGCGTCAGTTAGTTCTCTCTCTGCAGTTGCTTTCTGTCCTTCGTACGAGATGTCCTCACCACGGAGACGAGCAGAGAGACTCTTAAATGAAAACTTCTTTCCGCCAGTCCCACCCTCTTCAGGGTTCTAACAATGCAACGTGATACATGAATAAGTGAACATTATCATCATAAGAATGTAGGTACTAGGTACAGTGTATGAATGTAACAAGCAAAAACCCATTAGTTCCATTGTCACAAAATCCGTGACAAGCAAAAACCCATTCGTTCCATTGTCACAAAATCCGTGACAAGCAAAAACCCATTCATTCCATTGTCATGAAATCCATGACAAGCAAAAAACCTGTGACTTTTGCCTGATTTTAGAGCAACTAATTCGTAAAAAGTCCATATTTAATTGGAACCAGCTCAAACTTTCTACGCAACATAAAACATGTCTCAATCTTAAAAGTGCAAAGTTTCATTACTAATTGATAGCAATTTTTTAATCTTAATCCTCATAAAATGTAATGCAAATTTCCCTGACTTACATTCTTCAGTAAAGTATTCCGTGATTCGGCTCTACTGGACACCAACTCCTCCGCCTTTTCCAGCTGCTTCTGCAGCACTTCATGCCGTCTAGTGAGTGACCTTAGTTAAAACATGAGTTAATTTCATGAAAAAATGGAATCCATAGTTTTTTTGACTACACACTTTAGGCTCTCAGAAAATCCAATGTACTCTTTAATTGGAAGATAAAAACGACTTTCCTCTTCATTAAAATAACTATCACTGGAATCTGCATAGCTATAAAAGGGGCGGGCAGCAAAAGAGAGAGAGAGAGACATTAAGTAAAAATGTACATCGAGAAGATCCAAAGATTATACAGCAATAAACAATGGGCTACAAAAAACTTAAACTATAAATTAAAAACTGCATTATAATAAACTAGTCTATAGCTATCATAATATCTCCTATAGCTATGCTTTCATAGAACCAATCAATGCAGATATATTAAAAGACATTAATTTTCACTGTGATATCGTGAGCTAGAGTCATTTACTTGTCAAGGCAACCTGAAGCAACTTGCAGTGGAGTACCTAGTTTATCTTCAACCAGACTCATCTCACTAGAGAGGGAGAGGAGAGAAAGGGAGGGAAAGTACAGGAAGAGTTTTTTTTAAAAGAACAAGATATCCATGTAGCTTTATCTTATAACTGACTTGAAGATTCTTCCATAATTACTGTGAACTTTATACAAAGATGTCATGGAAGAATTCAACTTCTAAAATACAATAAAATGTATTATGCACATGATGGAGCTATTTTTTTTTTAATTATGTGACTCACTTGTCTAATTTCAAGAATTGTTCTAAGAATAGTGTCAAGATCTGTAGCATATGCTTTAGCATCTTGGAAACGACTGGAAAATAAAAAAAAACAATAAAAATATCGACACACTAAGTCTTGTAGTAGCAAACTTAACACCAGTGAAATTTCATAACACTCGCAGTTCAGTCAAAACTCTGACGTAATGAAATAATCTAGAGCATACCTGTCTGGACCATGCTTAGAGAGTTGGAGAGATAACGACTGGAATAATGTCTCGCTGCCCTAAAGTGTGTGAACGGTAGAAGTAAAATGCATAAATTCTGCTATTCCATCAGTACAATAACACAAAATATTATTAAAATACTTTTCCATTGTAGCCACTTTGGAGCAACTTCTCTTTCCAACTGACCTATCACAAAAATAATTATAATTTTTCAACTTCTCATAATTATCAAGGTTATTTCAAATCAAAAATCCCTCCCACACACCCAGCTAATAAAAAACATGCCTAAAAAACTTACGGTTTTTAAAAACTCGTGAAACCACACATTCTTTGATAGAACTGGATGACGAGATATTCTAACTAAAAAAATCTTTCAAATAAATGATAAAAAAATTAAGTAAAAATTTTACAATACAATAACTACAATTTCCTACTTCTAGTGCATGCTGCCTCTGGAGAAGAAACTCAACGTCTTCGCCTGAGAAGGTGATCTTGTTCAGTAAATTGGCACTTCCCCTGATCTGTGTAAATATATTTCATCATATGCCGAAAATAATTAATTTGAGTAATATTAAAAATAAATTCTTTAATAGCAAACATGTATTTAGTACTTAGCAGAAAATGATGAAATCCAACACATTTATTATTATTCAGATAAAAGCAATCATTTTTAAATAACTCAATCTGTAAACATGTACATTGGAACGGATACAGTTGATGCTAAATTGCTAATTATGTGAAAATTGACACGAACAAAAAACACAACAACAACAAAAAACCTCACAGCTTTCTCCGGAAGTGGTGGCATCACAACCTAAAAATAATTAAAAATCATTGTCATTATAATAATAATTTTTTGTCCTTCCCACTCACGTGTGGGTAGACAAATTGCATAAAGTTTCTGAGCATCTCAAATTCACTGTAACGCCTCCAGGTCTCATAACGAGTCCGAGAGGAGGAGCTGGGCTCTGTCTCATCTCCATCAGTCTTTGACAAACTGAAAATAAACACAAATTGTTTTAATTAATAACAAACAGAGCTAAAATGTGGCTTGCTTCCAGGAGCTCACATGGCAAGTATTTTGTACGCGTAGTACTCCTCCTTGAAGCCGCTCCCGGTCTTCTTCTCGTAGCATTTTATGGATATGTTTACAAAGCGAAGGTCAGACACTGCTTGCTTGAAAGGAGGCGAGTCAATCTCTTGCCACGAAGAGCCCTCTGGGGTCTCCTCGGCAGCCATTTTAATGGGCGTGGTATAAGAGGCGGGGTCTTGTACTTCAAAATTTTACATGGCTTCCCGTCAAAAATTTTAAGACTTGCCTCGTGTAATCATGACAGAAAAATACAGTTTTAGTTTAACTACGTTCAGGTAAAGGGAGGGAAAAGAATAGCTGGTATTTTATCCTTCGTCTCTTCTAGTCCATCCGGTAAACTAGTGCAGATAGAATATGCTTTGCAAGCAGTGGCGAGTGGAGCTCCGTCTGTTGGAATTAAAGGTATTCTAATTAATGCCCATCATTAAGGGGGTAAAAATACAATTAAATTATGTCCATTCAACTGGTCTTCCCCTTTCTCTTCTGATGCATGAAGTTTTAGTGGTTCTTTATGTGATAAAAATTGGGGCGTTTTGGTTGATTTTGAAACTTGGTATTATGTTTTGTTAAATTAAAAATTAATTGAATCAACTCAAACTTCATGTGTTAAAAGCATGTCGAGTTACTTTTAAATTCGTAAAAAAATCCAAATTTGATTGGAATCAGCTCAAACCTTCTACACAACATAAGTACATGTATATGCATCAGAAAACATTATTAAAATGGAGAATTCTCTCCTTTTCATTTTTGACAAAATTTGGCCCGAGACCATGTACTATAGTACAGGGACTTTGGCCCAATTTTGGAGCAACTTTAAAAATTCATAAAAAATCCAATTTTGATCGGAATCAACTCAAACTTTCTACGCAACATAAGTACATGTATATGCATCAGAAAACATAATAAAAATGGAAAATTCTCTCCTTTCCAATTTGGCAAAATTTGGCCTGAGACCATGTACTATAGTACAGGGACTTTGACCTGATTTTGGAGCAACTTTAAAAAGTCATTAATTAAAAATCTAATTATGATTGAAATTGACACGATACACGTACATGTATCCATATCCTGTACATTTGGTTCATTAGTCCGAGGGTCAGTTTCTAATGCATCAATAAATTGACCTTTAGGACACATCAGAGCTTGAACCACTGACCTCACTCTCTATTTAATTATCATTGATTTGTTTATTTTTTTAACATTCAATGGAATGTGTAACCTCTTTCCACAGCATATCATTTTTAATGCTACATGTACATGTACATGTACATGTACATGTACATGTATGCATGTACATGTACATATCTAATCTTTTGCCTCTAGGGCTTAATTCAACACCTACATGAATTACACACATCTTTATGATCCAATTAACCGATTGGCTCTATTGTTAATACTTCCTAGGAGAAGTGTTGTGTCACCTGCCTCTAATGGCATCTGTTTATATATGGTTGACACTTGATTTATCATAAATTAATAATGTGGGCCTATACCCTCTGATCCATTATACCCTTTGGTCTCAATTAGTTACATCATCAGCAACCTTGTACATTGTGTTACATGTAGTTTATAGGTAAATGTACACATTCTTTGTAAGCTTCCAGTTAGTTTATGAGCTAACAGTATCTAACAGTATTTTCTTACAATCGATATGCAGTTACTGTATGATATCAGTTGTGATTGTCACACAGGTACATATACTGCACTCTTAATTCTGCTGCACTTATACATACAGCGGTTATTCTGCTGACTATAATGATGCCTCTATTTAAATGCACAGCTGCACCGTTTTATATATAATTGACGTAATTTGGAAATGGATGATACTAATGCTATATTGACTCGTAGTGTTCTACTGTACATTTATCGATTTTTTTTTTCATTATTTTTTTTAGCAAAGAATGGAATTGTCATTGCTGTAGAGAAGAAGCAAAAGTCACCACTGTATGAGAATCATTCAATCAACAAGGTCTGTCTGTCTGTGTGCGTGTATCTTTAACTTTAGGTGCATGTAGATGTATTTGTGTCTGTAGAAATTAACTTTAAGTATTATGAATGCATCTAACTCTTGCTTATCAGCTGGCCCAAATCTGCACCCCTCCCCCCCCCTCTCTCTCTCTCTCTCTCCGTGTTTGGATGACAGCTAGTTGCTGGTATGACAGTCATTGTCTAGTGATAGGTTGGAATTGTTATGTGATATCGTTAGAAACTTACAATAACAGCCCTGAAAGGGACCAAAGGCTATAATGTACAATATTATTGACACATAATGAGATGATATCACCGCACCAGTTTAATAGTTATCACTGAACCATGCTGCCTGATTCAATTACATGTACACTGAGCAGTCTCTCACCATTAGCCACCACAGCAGCAGCAGAGTACAATGCTCACAATGCAACTATATAAGAGATGTACTATTACAGTGAATATCTGTACATGTAAGCATGTTTTTGCTGCATGTAATACACGCTAAACATGTGTGGACTGTAATTCGCAGTAAAAGATTATTACTAGAAAGATTGCTAGTTTGACTGAGCCATTGTCTATCGAATCAAAATAATTATACCTTTGCTTGTGTAGTGCTATCATTATCGGCTTATGTTTAGTAGACATGAACTGAATCAGTAAAACATTAATTTGGAAATGAATTATATAATTCTCTTATTATAGTCAGTAATAGTTTAAGTTCCGCTGGATTGAGTACTGTTCATGCAACTTACAAGTTGATCATTTCATTAATGATGATAGTCCTGCCAGTCAGGTGGCCACTTTTGTTGGCTTAACGTTACATGTGTATATACATGTACATGAGTCCGTGTATACTGTGTCCCAACTGAGGAAGTGGAAATGTCTATAGGCTAGAATGAAGCACATTATTATTATTCTTACATAATGCTCAGTTGTGCTTCCATTAACCAGAGACTGTTGTAGGAACTGTATATAGCTAGGTGTAATATGCCACCTGTGTTATGTAATGTTAGGTATGTATTTGTTTATAAATACTTTATTTTGTCAGGGTCACCCCTGACCCGGTCCTGATAACAATCATATCATCTGTTTAACAGATGAAAGAGAGCTGGCTTCCATGATTGATATCCATAAATGAATTGTCATTAGATTAGGAAATATAGTCTTGAGTTTAATTAGTGGAAGTGATGTGTCGTTATATTACATAATTTGTTAGGGGGATTTTAGCGGATTTGACAATTAGATATTTGTGCTCATGCTCAGTATTGACTGTTATTAATATTTCCTTTGTTTACTGGTCTGTCTACTCTAGTTTGTTTATTATTTTTATTGTATTATTTTAAGGTAATCTAAAAGGATTATTATTATCATCCCTTCAACAATTTCATGTATTTTATTTAAAAATGAATTTATAATGTAGCTTAAATGTTAATATAAGCCAGTCATAGCATTTCTGAATGCCATATACATGTACGTTCAAATTTTCGAGTGTTTAAAATTTCATATTTTGAATGAAATGTGCTCAAAAGTTAATATTCATGTGAGCTAATTTTCGTGTTCTGGCCACAGTCTACATGCAATAGAATGGGATTAGAGGTGGTTTAAATTTGTGGATTTAAGGTGAGCACGAAAATAACGAAAATCAACACACCACGAAAATTACTGCGTATACATGTAGTACTAAAAATTAATAAATTATCTTCTGGCTGTTATACCATAGGTCGGGATATATTTGCGGCTGCAATTATTCGCGGTCATAAAAAATTTCAATTAAAAACCATGGAAACCGAGGTGTTATTTTAATTGAAAATGGCGCGATAGTGAAGAAAAGCACCTTGCTGCAGTGTTCTTGAGCTCTTGTTCTTCTTGTGTCACTAAGCCTTGGGCTCTTTGGAACTGCTTTACCGGTTCTTTTCAGAACTCGTGCCTCGCCGTATTTTGGGACTCTCCACCTATTCTAGTTAGTGTTTATTGACTTGGGCGTGGTTTATTATCACCAGCACACGGACCAGCAACAATTTGCAGCAAAGAGGCTGAAAGAGCTCAGAGGTAGCGGTCCATACAAGAAGTTAACAGATAGAGAAGGACTCGCTATTGGTGAATGGCTCCACTATAGCTGCTAAAGAACAGATGAATAGCTGAACACTAAACACGTGGTCTTAATTGTCATAGCAATGCTCTAACAGTTTCCATGGTTTTTAATTGAATTTTTTATGACCGCGAATAATTGCAGCCGCGAATATATCCCGACCTACGGTAGCTATAGCCAGTTATATTTAGGAGTTCCATATTTTGCAATTTAAAAATACGCTTTACATTATTGACACCTTAATTTTGATTGATTGAACGAAATATAAAACCCAGAGAACTGGCTATGCATGCTTACACATACACCGTAAGTACAGTATAACATCGATTATCCGGACCCCTTTGTCCATCAGGTGGTCCGGATGGGTCCGGATAAGTGAAAAGTCCGGATAATTGAAATTACCTTCAAAACCTTCATATACTTACTCCAAAGAAAAGCTTGAGCCTTAATCAGCCATAAGGAGGCTAAATCCAAGCCTTGTTACTAGTAGGAAGCCATTAATCAGCAGCATTCCAGTGCTAAACAAGCTACTTTGTGTAGAAAGCAGCCATTTTATAATACCATATACTCTAATTAAGTGAATTTAAGGCACCACGTGGTCACTTCCGGTCATGATTTCAGAGTCCGGATAATCGAGGATCCGGATAATCGAGGTCCAGATAATTGAGGTTATACTGTACAGCTGCTCGGCCCACTACTAAGATGAGAAAGCATCTGTATGTATGTATGCACGGGCATCATGATAGGGTCGTCTAACTATTATTAAAGTTAAATAGCCTAATCTTCATTGAAAGTGGGTGTGGTCACAATGAATAAATGACGGCTATCAGCAACTTTGAGCTTATTTGCAGCAAAAGGTCAGCAAGATAAGATTGAACTGCTGTCCAAAGACTTCCCTAGCAAGAAGAAAGGTTAGAAAAGCATATATAAAACCTTTTTTCTTGATATAAAGGACTTTGATAAGTTGAATGCTGCAAGTGAGAAAGCTGCATGCAGCTGCTAGGCTGCATAATGAGATCTGTTCTAGGTGATGCTTCTAAGTTCTCTACTAGGTTAACAAAGCAGATGTAAAATCTTCTTTAAATGTGATTTGTTCAGTGACTGCTTCAAACTATAATCAATATAACTTTAATTGCTGCAGAAATTGCTTTGCTTGCTCAGACATTTAGATCGTACAGCACATAATCTGCAGCTTGCTTAGGCTCGCCCCTTTGATCTACATTCGTCTAGTACAATAGCTATTTCTGGAATGCACTGTGCATGACATCTATAGTCATGTTTGTCAGATTATCTTCATCACTATCTTAGCTACCTCACTGTACTGTAAACCTAACAGTCTTTATCAGTCAAAGTCTCATGATTTGAGTACCTCAGGTTATCCCATCCTAATATACCATACTAGTCAAAAACTTCCTATTTCCAAATCGTCTTTCATTATGCACTTGAAGGCATGTGATAAGGTAGTATTAATGGTCGCTTGCTTCCGCTGACTGGAGTGATCCGATTATCTATTTTTGACACTTGCACGTGTTCTTGGATATGATATCAATCCCAGCTCTTAAGACAATACACATTGTGATAGACTGGAAATCAGTACCTGATTTATATGTACATGTGTACATATATATACACTGTAGGTGTGTATACAGTTCATGTTTTGTAACCTGATTCTGCACTATAGCTGGCCTCTTCCTTCCTCACAGTCTTACATATTTACATGTACATATATTTCACTGGATATAGTTCCAGTACTGACATGTGACCTGTCTCTAATAAACATCCAGTTATCTGGCTTAGATCAACCCACTATAGCAGGCATAGCTTACATGCATCATGATTATAATTTTTATATAAGGCAGGATCAGGATGTGACATATTGTGTGATATTTATTACCTGAAGGACATGAACCCATTCATATGCCTGTAAATAGCCTGCACTGAATCCTCCTAGTATCAAAATTATTTCATTTAATGTTTCAATAATATCCTGTTGGTTGCATGCGACCTTATATGGTATAGTAGTAATAATTATTAATAACTATATTTAGTAACATGTATACATGCATACTTTCGTAAGTATGTAACTAAATGCAATTAATGAAAAATGTGCAATCAGTAGTATATACATGTAAGCCACGCGTCCGAAGAATGAAACAAATTGAGCTGATATTAGTATACTATCAACCTTCCTTTATTAAATGTAATTCCCCTTTAATATTTCTAGGTATAATGGTATGTAGTCATGCACTCTTTACTATTGCACATGCAGTCAAATGAGAGTCACAATTAAGATACACACACGTGTTGCTGGTAGTTTCTCATCTGGAGAATGCAAGAGCATTTTTAAGTCTATTTATAGTCAATAATTCAATTGATTTTTATCCATCAACACTTCTGGTATGTTGGATAACATTCTGGTAAAATCTTGCTTAGATCTTCCTTGGAATTTCCTAGTGGTAAAATCCACTACTCCTAATTATTATACTGTTTGAAACCTTAGATCTTCAGACCTACTACAACAACCAAATACAGGCATAACTTTAATAATATTAGTGTGACATAATGTTAATATTTTAACTATTAATATCCTGACAGGGATTGAGTTGAGACTGAGATCACAGTACTGTGCTAATATACTTACATCTATATGTGCATCTCCTCTGTCTGTGTGTTACATCCTGTTACTCCATATATATATGTCATATCCTTAAAGCCACTCACTGACATAATCTAATCTCTATTTGTATTGAACGCACACACAGACACACCCACACCCACACACAAACATGCCTCACAGATCGACCATGTACATGTACTTATGTCTTATATTTTTTATTTCTTATTTAATAGCAGAGTCATTTGGTGTGTGTGGTGAAGCCTCTTAGTCTGTACATGTTCAGTATGTACCTTCACTAGAAATTTCAATACTTCCATGTCACACTATATATTAGTATCATTAATTGTGTTATATTTATATTGCCGAACATTACTTCCAATATTCCATGTACACGTACAACCTGAAAAAGACATATATGGTGATACTAGCTATAGTACCGCACATGCCATTCCCATTATATGGCCTAACATTGAAATCATTGTATACACGTATACGTGATGATTTGTCTATAGGCTATTTTACAGTGTATTTCGATTGCATAATTAATGATGTGTCCTCCCTATTGTGGTCTGGTTCTGATTGTTTTTGTTCCTTGATTCAATTACATATTCGTCGGCTTATGATGTACATGTATCACATATCTGAGCTCAACCGGGCTCTGGCTATTGTAGTGATACCTGTTGTATTTACATGTACATGAAAGGGAGCTCTTAATTCATTCTTTCTTTGTTTAAATCTCTTTTTTAAGGAAATATTTATCATTTCAATGCTGACTGTGTCTTTTTGTAGGTCGAGCCAATTAATTCTAAGATTGGAATGGTGTACAGTGGAATGGGGCCAGACTTTAGGCTAGTACAGTATATGTATAGACACAAATGCACATGTACATGTACATACATACTTTTATTCACCTGGCATTAGCACTATATAGCTGATGCAGTAGTTAGGACAATGTTTAATGAAGTATACAGTATGCCCTTCATTATGCAGCTGCTTCATGTAAGCTTGAAATAAGATTTGTTTGATTTAGAGGGTGTACTTTTAAGTGTTGGATGTGGTTAAGTTTTTAAATTCAGTTTCTATTGCTGTTTGTAGAATATTTGTCTCTTTTAATAATGCTTTATTGTATTTTTAGATTACTGGTACGTAAAGCAAGGAAGATTGCAGTAAAATACGAGTATACTTATCATGAGTCAATACCAGTCTCACAGCTGGTCCAAAAGGTGGCAGCTGTAATGCAAGAATACACTCAATCAGGGTAAGAGAGAGAGAGGGGGAGGGAGAGAGGAATGAGTGTTTATTGGTTATGGGGAGACACAGAGAGAGAGGGAGTGGTAGCAAAGTTCACTGTGTTGGGTGGGTGGGGGAATATATATTCCTGAACTCCTTATTATGATTACACCATAATGAGTGATATCTTATATCTAAGCCTTTTACTCCTTGTGGCAAACTCAGAGGATGTTTTGGCTATGATTGTATGTGTGTTAAATGAGGCGTGGTGTTTTATTTCTCAGCATAGCTATGTTCTGATGACATTCCTACATAAAATGGCTCTTCTTTGATAGCCCACATCATGATTATATACATATGTACATCTATACAAGTCTAGACTATCATTGTACCTTTACTGACCCATTCATTATAATTGTCTTAGAAACTTCTCTCTTCCTCTCTCCCTCTCTCTCTGATCTTTCATTGCTAATTGAACTTTTTTGTGAAGCGAGTGAACTTTTACTTCAATTCAATTTAGTTTTTGGATTTATAATTGTCTATCTCACTCTGCTATTGTTATACACACTCATTATTCATTGCATCTACATTTGTATCTGCTATAGGGGAGTAAGACCATTTGGTGTCTCATTACTAATTGCTGGCTTTGATGAGGATAAACCTTACCTTTATCAATGTGATCCATCCGTGAGTTCTTAGTACATTTATACACGTACATGTACTGTTAATGCCTTTAAAATGCATGGAATTTCAATTGAGCTTTGAGGGGATTTTTAGGAAAGTTCTAAATGACATTAATACACATGTACACGTGTGTAACTCATCAAAACCTTTATCAACTGAGCCTGTAAAGTACATGTACTTGTAACACATGTACATGTACGTGTACATGCCAAATGGGATGTAGTTTTACTGCTTCATGTATTTGAGGGTGAGTTTTTGTATTGATGTGTGTAACAGTGTAGTTTTTGTCCATGTAGTGGTAGATAGAGTACGTGTACATTTGTAGCAGTACATGTAAAGGTCAGTTTATTGTTGATGTATCCTAGGGGGCGTATTTTGCATGGAAGGCGACTGCAATGGGAAAGAACTACATCAATGGAAAGACATTTCTTGAGAAAAGGTGAGTATTGTGTGGTTACTAATGATAATAATAATAGTAGTAAATAATAGCTGGGATCATAATGCTTTGATTAATTATGATTATAACCCTCTTGTCATCTTACTCATGAAACTTATGCTAATTGTTACGATAATTAACTTTAATTTGTTACTATAATTAGATCTTGAGATCATCATGATCCTTGATCTAATCCTCTTGACCTGCTCTTTTCTCATGCTTTTGTGCTAAGCAAGAAATGCTGCACTTGCATCCAATAGTACATGTACCTTTTAGTATGTACATGTGTGAATGGGTCTATGGGTTTTATTACTTTATAAGACAGTGTTCTTGATTCTTGTTTCTAATGTACACTATTATTATTATTATTATTATTATTATTATTATTATTATTATTATTATTATTATATTTTTGTTGTTGTTATTAGATACAATGATGACCTTGAGATTGATGATGCAGTCCATACAGCCATACTCACACTAAAGGTATCCCTAATCTTATGTACACCCCCACACTGATTGATAGTTATTATATAACCTGTTACTATAACATATTTTGAGATCACGCCCTCACAACTTCAGATTTACTAGTTGAACACTTTCACGTGTAAAAACATGGGTCTGTAACAGGGAAAGATGCTTTACTCTTAGTTGCAAAACATGATCATTTCAGTAAAAGTAGTAGTTACTTTGTACTAACTGTACAAGTACTGTACGTGTTAATGCAAGTCATGCTGTGCTGGTCACTGTTCAGCTATTAGGTTACATTATGATGTACTTGCTCAGGCTTGTTTCTGAAATATTCCACATTAATTATGTTCCGTTATTCAATCACTCGTATATTTGTCTGTCTCTGTCTGTGTGTGTCTGTATTTCATGCTTCACGTGAGTATGTGTTGTATCTTGGCATTAGTGGATGTAGGTATTCTGTTACAACTCGGATTGACAAATTTATTTGTGTTTCATCCATTGCAAAGAGGTCGGGTACACTTGCCACATGTCACATTTCATTCACAGCGTAATGTTCTCACTAGCAAGCTCATTCTACTGTGTATTGCTTAACAGGAAGGCCACGCCATACGTCATCTTACATGATACAATGTAACAGTACAATTAAATGAGGGTTTTATGTATTCCCTTTAATAGGATCAGGTTTATCCTACATCCTCAATTAGATATAAATATATTTGTGTTTGCCCCATTGTTAAGATCTGTCTATTCATGTTTTAAAAGAACTTCGTCTCATGGTCACACTGAAATCATTAATACAGCAGACCTACCACAAGTTCCTATCTATCCTACAAGTCCTTATATAGCTGCCATTGGAGGAGAAGGATTAGGAATCTTGCCTTCTAATTCTTAAGTTTTTTCTTCCCATATTGCAGACAGTCATTTTTTATTCATTTACATGTACATTTTATAAGTATATCGACTCCTTTCACTTAAAATTGGCTGCTACAGATAGTTGAGGGTTGCTTTCATGACTTCTGCATGTGTTAGTGGTTTATGATATGTGTACAGTTATACACATTAATGATAATTATTACTATTGTTCATTATAATGTCACTGATTATAATTGATGATAGGGTCAGTGTCTACTTTATTAACATATTAATCAGAAATCTGTAATTGATAGCCTTTATGGTAGTATTTACTTGTAGATACTCATGCTTCTTCCTCCTTGTTAATTCCCCTTTTCTTTCTCCTCATCCTCCCTCCCCCTCCTCTCTCTCTCTCTCTCTTTTCCTATGCTGTATTAGGACAGCTAGTATACACTTGTTGCGTGCCCTTTTAACTTATGTATAGTGTTATTATTAACTTCCATGGCACAGGTGAGATTTTGAAGAAAAGCATGCCTCTGTAAATTCCCCCTTTCATTATTACATGCTCTGGTGTCCTATGGTCTGTATCCATAGTAACAAAGAGATGAGTAAATGTCTGTCCACATGCCAGGCTGACCACTAGCATACAAACGTTGTGCAAGTTCTATTGTATTGTGTGCCTTCTTGTCTTCTTGTCTTCTTGTTTGGTTTCATTTCTGATAGTGCATGAGATCAGTCTAAATGACAGCATTCCTGGTTGCTCCTCCAGAATGTACATGTACATGTACTTTTATCATTGTATAATGACTCTCCATAATGTATCATTGTGGTTTGTTGTACACACGTGTGTGCTGGTGTGTAATTCTGCTTTTAAGAGGATATTTGTTTCATTGCACTTTTGTAGTAGTAGCTTTGGAGTGAGTGCAAGGTAAAGAAGTATCATAAGTGAGATATGTCATCTTTACTTGGACCACATGTTAAAAGAATGATGAGAATTGTTATGCACACGCGAGCACAAGTCTGAATGACTTGATGACCACTCTAAACCTCTCATTGTATCCTCTCCTTTTATCTTTTGTTTATTTGAAATTGTTTGATTTTAGTTGTAAATATTAAAAGTATGTTTTCACTCAGCGAAACCTCTGTATTGGGCCCATACTGATATCATGCCTTCAATAGAGTGACAATAGCCCTCACTGTAGAGCCTTGTACTAACTCTATACTGTAGAGGTGTCCTTTATAAGCCTATTTCAGAGGCAACCAGAGTCTGTACATGTACATTGTATAATGCAGTTAAAAGTTGCACAATGTATATACTGTCCAAAATTTTGTGGATTGTTGAAGTTATGCTAATGTGTCCCACATAGATTTTGAGGTATTTGGAGTATTTGTGCTAGCAAAGTAACGTCTCTGCTGGATATGTGTAGCAGGAAATGCTTCAAGTGCTTCAAAGACTCTTTATGCTAAGACTCTCTTTTAATGTAGATCCTTTATAACTTGAAGTGCATCCTGTGACAGTGGTAACTTAATACCAATTTTTATTGAATTGTCTGTCGTATATCTACCTCATTAGTCATTACAGTCTGTGGCTCTAATTTTCTTGTCGCCATCATTTATGTCACATCCTCCACATCTGGGTTCACCGGAAATCCTCTCTTTTCTACTGACTAAAATAGTTCATTGTGTCTTTATAAGCACTCTTGCTGCTTCCGTTATGCAAATAAATGCGGAAGTCTGATCCATGCACTCTATAGTTTTAAAGTTAACTTTGTTACCATCAATGTTCTTGCTATGGTTGTTTGTGTTTCTTCATTGCTTCACGTCCTCTCTCTCTCTTCCTTTCTTTCTTCTCATTTCTCCCTTTTATTGTTCCTTCAATCAATACATTATTATCATTATAATGTTTACGCTGTTATTGTTGCTGCATTCTTAATGCTTCATATTACTAGGACTGCAACCGGATTTATTGTACTTATATAAACAATCACATGCCTTAACATTTTACCCCTGAGCAGTGATAGTATGTCGGCAGAGGTTGTGGAATGTGAATTGGAATTAAAAGTTTACTATCTTACCTAAATAAGAGATTAGCTATGCTTTGTTGTTGTGGTTTTTTATTGTAAATTGTAACTGGTATTGCTACCATTGCTTTCCTCTGGACTGTTAAAGTACAAATGGAACACTTCTGATTAACATGTTTACAAACTAACTCCTTGAGTCCTTGGTACCCCCACCCCACCCCTACGCTAGCGTGGCAAATCCAATCATAAACGTGCTCATTTTTAAATATATTTTTTTGATTTCATAATCTTTTTAGACCATGCGCCTAGCTTTAAACTATTTCTGTTCAAGCCACAGACCAAATTGGACTATACGTTGAGTTCTTTTGCTAGTACCTGACGTCCTGTATACCTGGAATCATGCATGTATATAACGTACATACATGTACATGTACATGTACATGTGCATGTGCATGTGCATGCAGCAATAATAATACGACAGAGGAACTGCATGATAATATATTATGTACATATATGTACGTTTGTTGCTACTCTTTTTTGTACATGAACTAATCCAGTGATCTCATTGTCAGTATGTATGTGTGTGAATAGTATATGTGCCTTTAGTTCTATAATGTTCCCACATTATAAGAATTCCAGCTGTTTGTGTGTGATTCCCACCCACAGACATCAGTGTGATTCTACTGAAGTGACTATTTCATTTTCATATATCAGAATTCCTTTTTTGTCAATAGTTTGGGCATTATTTTGAAGGATTTCACCTAACAAATCTCACCCATTCTCTGTATTGGTATCATAGTCTATTCAGGCCTGGTTATAGATCACATGAAAACAGTTAAAAAAACAGCTTTGGTTTCATGCCAAATTTCCAACAGATCAAAATATCACCATTTTTACCTTGTCTTGATGCATGTAACCAAGAATTACTCAGAAGTTTGATGCTGGCATTCTTTCACAATTGTTAGCTGAGATCATTTACTATTATTTGCATATCTCAGGAATCCAGGCAGACAGCTCTAAGCCATAATTAGTATTAAAAACCCGAATCCTAGTCAGTGCTTCACACAGGCATGCTCAACATTCCTTTTGTTGCTGTCAGTTCTAGTTGTGATCTATGCATAATGTTGTTTGGGTGTTCTCTTCTGTTATGGATGGTACATGGTGCATAAAAATCCCTGGATGTTCTTTTCTCAGTGTGCAATCCTTTATTGCTTATGTGTCTTAACACTCTGTGTGTGTGTGTGTGTGTGTGTGTGTGTGTGTGTCTGTGTGTGTG